ACCCCGGACCGCGATAGATCTGAATTTTAAATTAGCCCCCGTTAATATTATTGGTACACGAGTTCAACGAACTGTGCAAAAAAACAAATCTATTATTATTTTGGAGGTACCAATTCTAAGTTTTTTTCATTAGCATTTAAGTCTGCCCTTTTATTATTAGTGGGTAGTAGGGTGTACTAGCGGCGTATTATTGGACTTTCTTAAATTTTGGACGTCGCACATCAATCGATATGACTTATGGATGTTAACTTCAAATCTTTTATCAGAATTATCAAAGCATGTTTATATATATATGATAAATATTACAACACCTATAGATATTTTTTTAATCTGATATTGGATTTCAAACCGATGAGCGGCGGGGCTTTTGTATTTTATCTACTTCCGATGTGGTTTTTCAATTACTAAAGATTTAAGTTTTACATTTAAGACATTCAATTTTATTTAAAATTAGTTATTTTTTTGTGTAATAAAATTACCATACGCGTGCATAATCAAAAACCGTATAAAAGTCGAATAAAGTCGAGTTTTGAACTGTCGAAAAATATCACGGTTTTCACGGTTTCTAAATTCCTATTGCTGTAGCGTATGTAGTACACTTGTAGAGTTCAAAATCACTTTGATGTTTCACAAAAATCTCGTTTGGAACAATAATTGTATTCATTTATTAATATTATAATATTCTATAGTGCAGGCAGACAGACAGTATCGATTAATGTATAATTTCTTTGCGAGATTGAATTGTGTTCCGCAAACCGAGGCACGCCGTCACGACCACACGAACCTAAAATTAAATATCTACTTACAGAATTTAACCGGGTAACTCGCAACGTATCATCATATTATACTCGTATATTATAATGCGGTGCACTTTAGTGACATTTGGGTTACGTAACAAAACAAAATATTTCTTTATAATTTCATTTTTCACCGAAATATATTATGGTGTATAGCGTTGTTATTTAGGAAATTTGAATTTTACACGTTACAAAAGCATTACAATATAATTCATATTTATCTTGGAAAAAAAAATCTACAACATGTTTTGCTTTATTAAAATATCGTACTTACTTGGGCGTATGATGTAAAAGCGATATATTTTCTTAGTGTAAAAATGCCACGGGAAAATGTAATATATTTTTGTTGAACGGTTAATCTGAAATAATAATATATAGTTGGATATTCCTATTAAAATCCTTTCTAATAATTTATCATTGTTTTTAACTTTTAAAGTATAATACACATCCAGCATTAAAACGAGATAAAAAAATAATGTCGGATTCATCACAGGGGTATTTAATGCGTTTAAATTACTGGCTATTATTAGAGTCATTCGAGTTAGAAAAATTGTCAAGTAGAGTTAGTGATTTAGATGGAATATCTTTTCAGCAAGTACGTAAATTTACATACCTCAGAATCAATAACAGAAACTTAAGATTATTCGTTTGAAAACTGGAAATCTTATTGAGTTAAAATCATTATCTAAGAAAAACCAAAGAAATACTACATCCCTTATTTATGTTAGACTTGCAGTTATGTCGTATGAGCGTTGTATCTGGGTTACAATAGCATACGCGATTATGTGAAGAGAATAAGCTGAAAGAGAAAAGTTTTTAGGAAAATTAATGGACCCGTCTGTAACCCTGACATCTCCGCCGTACGCCGAATTTACCATCGTAGGTACATTCCCAATGCAATTTTATTACGAGGATCTACGACGAATATTATTCAATTTTGAAAATTTTACGATTTGACAACACTATTTGTATTATCGTTGTTCCAATAACGTCATCACTGTGGAAACGACAAATAAAAAAATATAAATAAAGCTGAATACGTTGAATTTGTTTGAATTTTCATTTTATAATTATTATAATCACATACATTATTACCTATACGGTTTTTTATGACCCAACACGAACTCAAGTTTTTTTCACTAACGGAAAAATAAGTTTTCTTATTTTCACGGAGCGTATCTTCCGATTAGGTCCGCTGGTTATTGGAGGAAACGCAACGGGTTTCTTGATTTTAATGCTGAGGACCAAGTTCTCTGATCTTTCAAGACGTATTAAATTTAGATTTATACGACGATTTTAGTTGATTTATAAATTTAAAATTGATAACTGATTACTATAATATAGTTGATAATTTATATTTTCTAATTTTTGTCATTTTATACTCATAATTTTAACTATAACTAACAAAATAAATATTCTTTCGGAAAAAAATAAGTTGATAGCCGCTGCAGGAATGGTGGACGGTAAATTATTTCGGTAAATTTATGTACTAAGAATAAAATTGTATTACAATTTGCTGATTATTTTGATGTAAATATAAAAAAAAAAAAAATCATTCTCAAGCTTTTAATAAGTAAACAAATGATATATTATGATAATAATAATAGATCCACCGGACCTGGTCCATTTCTTGGTGGAGAAGCGAGAGATCAAGATTCATTGAACTAAATCTGTCAGATTTTTTTTTGCTGTATTGAATTATTAGATATCACATACAGTAAGTTTTAATCTGCTGCAGACCAAATCCGTTATAAAATCCTCTCGTGCATATTAAGGCAGTTCCGGGTATGAACATTTGGAACAAGTTAGTTATATACTATATATACTCGCGAGATTGACACTAAAAATATATAAAATGTAAATTTATGAATAAAATATTATAATACATTGATAGATCTCATTTATCATTCTTGTGAAGGGCATTTTCCTGTATTGTTTTGGAAAATCTAAATAAAAATATTCAAATAATATTGTGTTTAATTTGAATCCGAGTAAAAAAAAATCACACCACCACAAAGCTTAGAACTGATCACACATCAATCCCATTTTCGAAATGTCCTGTCTTCTGATTATTCTTAGATCAATTATTAGATGGGTGTTTAGTTAAACTGACAGAAAGTATAAAATATGATTCACGTCGCGGACCTTTCATTAAAGTCCCCGGATATACCGTATAAATTGTAAACACGGCCAATAAAAATAAAATATAAATTTACCAGAGCGTTAAAACGTTTCGTTTACGTTGTGGTCGCATGTAAAATTCTTCATTACACAAAAAACTGCGTAGACCATTATTGTAGGTGTGAAGAATGAAAATTAATTCATATTAACGATATATTTTCTTAGTGTAAAAATGCCACGGGAAAATGTAATATATTTTTGTTGAACGGTTAATCTAAAATAATAATATATAGTTGGCTAATTCATATTCTATATTGTGCTGAAAGCAATGATTGACAATTGGAATCAACAAACGATTCTGAGCAGAGTTTATTACACCGGTAAGGTAATAGTAGAAGTCCTGAATTTTTCCTTGAAACTCAGAATTGAACGAAAATAATTAAATAAAACTTATATATCTAATAAAGTACTTACGCACTATTTTATAATTTTAGTATAATTATAAATCGTGTTTAAAATAGTGTTAATTAAAATGTTATCTTATATATACTATACTTATATAAACACAATTTTTAATATTTAAATGTATATAATATTATTATTGCGTTATAATAATTTATATTTGCTGAGTTACAGCGGTTTGTTTACTGAGCTCTCGAATAAAAAAAAAATAATAATTGTAAGATTTATTAGGTAGGTAATATTGTTTTTTCAACCTAATTTTTATAAGTAATTTTTTATCAACATTTATTTATTTACTTTTTTTTCTAGATAAAATTTAAAATACGATTAGCAAATAGGTAATGGTTATTTTTAATTAATTATTATCACTTATCAATAACGAAGTATGGTTATTGGTTATTTATTATAATAATTTTTAGACATTTCGCAGTGTATATATTAATAAGTGTACGGTGTCTAGACGATAATAAACAATCGATTTCTATATTAGAAAAAAAAATGTATAATTCAAAAGAATATTATATTTTGTTTACCGTATACAAATTAAGTATATAATGGCATTGCAATACAAGATCCAAAATGTATTAGTTAACATACTGTTAAACTCACTTAAGACACTCTCACCTAAGACACTTTTCCGCTTAAAAGGCTTTGCTATACAAGAAGCTGTTTCGTGGTTCCTGGACATTTTATTTACTAATCAATATAAAAAAACACCTGTCAAAATTCTTGGTTTTTCTTTATCTAATCGGGTAAAATGCAGATTTTGTTCGGTAGATCACGATGAATTATAGCCATTGTATAATAAAAAAATAGACATATACGTATTCATCCGTTTACGTGTTCTTATCGTATTTATCATTTAATTTTTATATTTAATCATTAAATAATTAAAACTATGGACACTCTTTCCAAGTAAATTAAACAAGTGACACAATTATGTATACATTACCTGTTTAATTTTGTTCAATAAAAAAAATTATAATAATATATAAATAAACTCAATATTTTAAAAACTTAGGATATTTTTCCGATCTCTGCATAAAATGGTCCTTTGAGCTGATCTCCTGAAGATCGTACGGAACTTTTATTTTTTAAGTCATCATACTTAATAACTTAATACAATGAGGCATATATCGCGAAAATCATTAAAATATAATCCGAGTAACTAATTGTCGGGTGTGGTCATTTTTGAAATTATAGCTCATTTGGAATTTGGTTTTTAGGCAATCCCTTTGGACAAATTTCATATTCATAAACAATATTTATAAACAATTATAATATACTTCGCATAATGATAATATTTTATAACCAACAATTAAGACGTTTCAAACGATTCGTATAAAACAACCATAATAATTTATTAACAAAAATAATTATATGAATTAAATAGTTATTATTATACAACTTATACAAATACGGTGAGGCATTATTAACCATCATACCAAAGACAATCCTATGCCTGTTAAAACTGTAAGGGAAATGCCGCGGTCCAAACCTTTTACTGTACAAAATAATAACTATTGGCTCAAACGGATCTTCGAATATTGGGCCAAACTGATTGTGTGTGTGTGTGTGTGTTTTTTTTAAATTAGTCCAAATGCAGTCCTACCATAACTGTTATCGATTGGACAACAATTTTGGACCGAACCACTGTATACCAAACGCCCCGATTGGAGCGGTTATCAATATTGAGAGTACGGAAATTGTCAACAAAATACTTGCGCTTTGCTTGTCTTCTTGTGAGCCCAATTTCCTTGCCATATCCAAAGCTACTGGCGCAAGAGTGGCCTAAACGTGAGAAAAAAAAAATATCGAAAATATAATATTCATTGATTTTAGCTGGAAAAATAAGAATAAGTCGTCATAAGAATGTTGTCTTATATTAATAAAAGGAAGTGTCTGGATTGAGTGTTGTAACACCTATTTCCATTACTTATTTTAGATAAAGATAAGGTTAAGAAGTTAATATACTCCAAACCCCCCTCCCCCCAGACCCTCTCACATCAATAAATTCTGGCTACATCACAGGGCGCCATTAATTAGCATATAATCAATAATACTGGGTTGTAAGTGGCAATTTAATTAATAAAAACCATCTGTAAAAATACCATGTGTAGTAAACGACATAAGTTGTTCACAGTATGCGCCACGAAAAAGGGCATACACGTGGAATTAACTAATTATGAAGTAAGCGACAAAGTGTACGATAATTGTAGTAAGCGGCCATAGAAATAATGGTAAAACTGTGGTGAATTTGTCGTTTAATACATATTTAAGGATACTTGCAACTTTTTTATTTAAATTGGCTTAAACATCAACTATATAGAATAGTCAACATTAAAGAAAAATATAAATATCCGATTAAAAAAAAAAAAAACTAAGAATGAAAATTACGTCATGTAGAATATCATTCGAGTTTCACAATACGAAGCAAAAGGATCGATAAAACATAATACAGTTTGTAATTGATAGTCAGAAACAGTCTATGACTCTACTCATACTAATATTTCGATTCGGTTTTTATTGGGTAATTTCTGTTTCATAATTATTTTGTTTATTATTCAAATAGTTAGTTTCCATTAGTTCCTATTCAATTATTTTCAAAGTTATCATTCAAATAATTCAGTTAGTGTACACAAGAGCGAATTCCAGAATTAGTAATAAATGACCACCTTTATCCCTGGATCTTACACTATAAAATTACTGTTTGTGGGGGATATCTAAAAACTGTTGTCTATGCACACTTTCTAGTCGTACGCATTGAAAGATAAAATAAATGTGGTGTGTATTCAATTTATTGAAGTATAAATTTTATTTTTGACAAGTAGGAAATTTCTTTGGAGGGTAGAAACATGCTTAAATCATAATGGAAAGCAATTTGAACAATTTATAATGTGTATGAATGTAATCTTGAACTATACAATTTTAAATTTAAAAAATGAATCATGTCGTTTTTTTATTCATCTAGGGGGACAAACTTTAAGAGAGAAAAAGTAAGTTATCGTAGGGGGGGAAGATTATCCTTACCCAAATACTAAAAATAGCACTAGAAATAAAAGTAAAGTTAGTGTAAAAATGAATAAATGAACTTATAAAAGTTTTAAATAAGTTAAACTAATTGAAATAAAAATAAATAATAAAAAAAAACATGAGCAATAATAATAATCTGAAAAAATGAGTGTTCCATTTAAAAAAAAAAAATTATTTGGCTTATGCTTGAAATTAAATGGCATAAAAATAGTTTAGTTAGTATAATAAGTGTATAACCTAGTTTGTTAGGCACCCAAAAGCATAATTCGAATATATTTAATATCATCAGAGTTATAGAGTGTTTCCAACTAGAGATTATACAATATATATAGCCTATAAAGTATTATATAGACTGGGATAGATACCTACCTACTTGTATAACTTAAATTTTATTTAATGTTCAATATTTTAATTGTTTACCTGTACAGTCGCTTTGGGAAGCCACGCGATATTGATAAACGCCACTTCTTTGCTATTGAAACCCGTGCCCCACACCGAACAAGACGTGACTAACAGACGCACCTGTGCAATTTAAAATATAGTAATATAAGATAATCTTGTTAAAATATTATATTGTTAAAAATTTGAAAGTACGTATTAGTATGCCTATAATTTTGTAACATACCTATTAAATAAGAATCAGTTAACAACAATAATATTATTTACGAATTCACTTCAAATTATACATTAAAATGTATATTATATTTAAACCTTCAATTCGTACTTCGTATTGTATTTTTATAATTTATAGTGGTACTTACGACCAATCCGCCTATGAGAATCACTATTCCGGTGACGATTATTCCACCACCCTTGAGAAGTTCAAATTTTACTTCGGTACCTATGGACGCGAACAGGAACGGCTGCAGGCAAAACCAAATGAACTCGAACACTTTTTCGACCGGATCTTCTTGATCCTCCCTGTCATCGTTGCTGCAGTTAAACGAAATTGTCGTCGGATTGATACAATCATGTTTTTTTACTCTCCACTTCCAACCGGTACCGGCTACGAACGACGATATAATGCATGCCAGGGGACCGGCCCCCGGATATCCGTATAATTTACTGCCAGTTACCGCCAGAAATCCCCCGACACCCAGTAGAAACGCTCGTTGAAGAACCACTAAATTTTTTATCTTTAAGAAACAAATTAATACACACAATATATAATTATTTTCAAGTTTATTTCTTTGTTATAAAAGTCACAATTATGATTGACATCATGGTCTAAAATTATGACTTTATAGGTGCAAATAAATTTCGAGAAAGAAGAACTTAACTTTTTGATTTTATTTCCTAAATAATTTTCTTATGTAATTTGTTTCTATAATTTCCATAATTTTTTCCCATTTTTCGTATGAAATATGAAATCCTTTTAACCTTACTAAGCCGTTTTTTCTTGAATCTAAAGGCCTATATTATATATTAAATAAAAGAAGAAATTGACTGACTGTCTAACTAGCATATCAAAACAGCTTCGTAGTGTCTCTAGAAACTTGACATTATACACAGAGGTTCCTTATACAATGTAGTCAAAAGCTAAGAAAAGATTGTTCAACGTTAAAACCCTAAGGAATAAAATATTTAATGTACTCAGTAACCCCAAACTTATAAATAAATATTTGAATAAGTTACCCTCTAATAAGAATAGATATTATTGTCTTATACATATTTACAACGATTTGATTTATTTATTTTTATAGTTTTGCACCTGCAAATTATCTAAACGTATATAGATAAATACTATAAAATTTATATTTACCAAAAGATTAAAAATTTATTTCAATTAGGCGTCGCGTATAATATTTTTAGGTATTCATTTACCAACATTAATTTCTTATTACGAATCAAACAAAATATAATTTTCAAATAAATTTTACGTTAAAAATATTATGTAAATTACGTATTATTATTACTTCATTTCCATCGGTTTCATTTTCGTTATCTTTTTTTCGGCCGTATACTTTGGCCCACGGTGGAGGTGGCACAAAAATCAAAAAGAATCCCCACACGAGTCCTAGAGCGGTTCCTATGCAAATGTCAACGGGACCCTGAATGAGTTTACTCGTCATGTCACCTGCGTTTTGCCAAAAAATAACGTAAATATAATATTAATACTATTAATATAGATATATTGTGACAGTAAATAAAATATAAATTGTACGGCAGAAACAATAATGAAAAAAAAATCAGACTGTCGTATGAGGTTAAGTTAGGTTAAAAAAAAAGGACATAGAATGGTGGAACAGCAAGCATGTGCACACTCAAACGAAGTACGAGGATGGCAGGCTATCCAGTCGAGTCGAGAATAAATAGGATGATGAATATCAACGAAAGATTTAAGAGGAACACACCAAATATAATTTGTTAAATAAATGTAATGCGGACCGATGGTCATCTTTTATTCTTTAGTAGGAAAGATGAAGGCTTCTATGTTGTAACAGTTTATTGTAATGGCTCAGCCGGTAGAGAATTATCCTATCGTCTACTCACGGATAACTGTATTTGGTTGGAACAATAAATGATACCTAGGGCAAAGTTATATGGTAACATATTTTCTCCCCAAGTGCGACATATTAAAAAAAAAAAGTTTAGTTAGATTAGCTTAAAATAGAGATAAGTAAAAAAATAGAGGGAGCTGTGTAAATTAACTTGATTAGGAATACTGTACGATGTACAAAAGTTTAGGATTGGTGAAAATAGTGAGTGTTCGTGTAATATATACGTTTGGAGTTTTCTTACCGGTCGAGAAAATCATGCCAAGGAATACACCGAAAGCACTGATGGCCACGATGTCGTCTAAACTGGACGCAGCAATCACCATTGTATTGACGCCGTTTGTTTCACCGTAACCCATCCGTTTTAAAAACAAAAGATTTGGCACCAGTACGGCCGGGCTAACGGCTGACAATGTGAACCTTGAAAAAATAAAAAATAATAAAACCCTGCTGCTCACATAATACACGTTGGAATGGGGTATACTCGGGCGGCAAACAATTTTTAAAATATCCAATGAGTATACTGTTGAAAATTTAAATAGTTCAAATAAAGTACTATTTGGAAAGTTTGGAAATGTTCCATATTTTGAGGGACAAAATGAAAATATTGGAGTATTTTTACCTATTTATAAAAAAACACACATATACAATAGCACAGCTATTATTACTTATTAGTACCTATAACTCAACTAGTAGGTTCTTCGCTAAATTTAGAATTGAAATACCTAAACATTAAGTTCTTGAAAATAATTAAGTACTAAAAAAACAAAAATAATATTCAAATTTCAATACTACCTTATTATGTAGGGTAATTAGTATAACGTATTAAGACACGCATTATCTCGGAAAGTGTTAACTTTATTCGGAATTAATTTTTTAAAAAATTTAAGACATACGAGGTTTGGCTATTAAATAACGAGACTACGCGCGTAGAGAGCGTCCCAAAAAGGTTAGGGGAAAACCGAATACAGCGCTGGTTAGCTGGAAGTGTCTATTATGCCAGTACAAAATTGGGTTTTTGTTGGTGCATTAGTATTTTTTCTGTAGCGTTTAGAAACGAACATGTTTTTTTCTCTTGCCGAAAACGATGTGTGACGAAAAACATGAGCAACGGATAAACGTAAAATTTTCTTGTAATAATTTTTAAAATAAAACCATTTTTCATAAGTAGTCTCGTTATTTAATAGCCACACCTCGTAGCTCTAAAATGTTACATTATTCTTTTTTATGTAACTCTTATTTAAGAATAAAGAACCACTTTTTACCTGCTTTTGATTTTCAAATGGCAATATATGTTAAAAATTCCTTTAATATACGGGGTATTAGGTCAAATCAATTTTAATCAATTTTTAATTTTCATCAACCAGTGGACGTTCCACTCTTTTAAGTTTCAGCGGGGGTGAAGTGATGGAATAATATTCAAACGCCGCACGCCGTGCTTTCACACAAATGATACGCCTTTACTTCCCCTTGCTAAAACTAAACAATGGAATATCTCGTTAACTGGTTAAAACGTCAACACCAAAACTGATTTAAACTAATACACCATCTATTTATTGAACATTTATTATAGGTTGCTAAAAAAAAATCAAAAGTAGGTAGTGGTTTTAACTCCTGAAATAAGGGTGACAAAAAAATAGAGTTATGTAACATTTTAGACACCTAATTTCTTAAATGTTCTAAAAAGTGAATTTTGAAAAAAAATAAATATTTCCGAGATAATGAGTGTCTTACGGTACATTTATCATCCTGTATTATGTAAATATATTTTATAAAATCTAAAGGTTAGCATGGAATTACATAGTTAATCGTAATTATCGAGCAGTTTCATGATTGGCAAATGAAATGATAAAATATATTTAAATAACAATAATAGTAATAAGTCAAACACCATTCGATTCTAAATATATTGCTTGATATTTCTACGATACCGCGATTTAATCTTTGGATTGCAGCGAGACCAAAAACTCAAAAATGTAACGAGAATTTAATTTAAATCGACGCAACGATATTATTATGGATTATGGAATGTAATCAAAACACGAAGGTATTATTATTATATCGTTATTCGCCCACTATTGAAATATACAATAACAATAATTTTAATAATCTTATACGGACGTAAGATGTTATAATATATTGATATACATTGTGAGTGAGTCAATTTTTCCACAAAAATATTTCAATCATCGATACGTCGATGAGGTTTTTTATCGCACTGTTTTATTATTATACAAAACTATATTCCACAGAATTACGATTAAAGGGTCCCAAGAAAGAGCGGACATATTATAATCAACCGTTTTAAATTCGATTTTAAAGTTTATCAATATGTCTTCCCCTTTTACACGAATATTTCCATTCTGTATGGTTTTAATTAGAATATTCTTGTTTTCCTCATTTTATATAATTACTATTCGATACAGTACCTTATATAGGTACTCACCTAGACCAACATAACGTGACAAACAACAAAAAATAGACTATTCTTGTTCTTTCCTTGGACCCTTCCGTTTGTTTAATATGTTTTGAAAGAATGCGTAGAAGCTTCACAATATTGGCTTCACAAAGTTCATAAATAAAATAAAGCCCCAACAAACCCTAGTAGTACCTATATAGTATATATTCTGATTGGTTAGACAAGTTGAAACAAATTGTGGCGCCAAGTAGGTAAATGGCCACAGTTTTATTATTAATAATTTTCGTTCATAAAACTACGATTTTTGTGTGCGATTTCTCAATCACATTAAGACTTACCCAAGTGTTAGACCCCAATACCACGAGTAATTGGTCAAGACCAAATGGGCCACTGCGGCCACGGCGACGGCTTCGGCTATGCACGGCAACAGCGCCAATCTGGCCACAGCGCTGCTAAGTCTTCGCAACTGGCCCGCGTTCAGCTCAAGGCCGCCCTTGATAAGGATCACTGACAATGCGGCTTCTCTGCAGTAGTGGATGACAAGACCAATAAGACCATACGTTCATCGTAAACGATCATATTAGGTTTAGGTTAAATTGAGTAAGTTTGTTTTCGGGCCACGTTAAATCTGTATAAATTATACCTCGATGTAGGTTGTAAGTTAGCTGTAAGTTGACTATACAGTGATATAACTTAAAGGTCTAAGAGAAAATTATTATTTTTTTTTTAATGTTTCACCCTAGGAAATTTCGCTTACATAAAACATAAATTTGTCTCAGAGTAGATACACAAGTACGCTATAATATGTACAGAGTTCATGAATTACATAGAAACAAGTAGCACAGGTAAGCATGATAATATTAATTATTATTATTTGCTGGTTTGGATAAAGCGAATTTATGATTATTGTTCAGCTTATCATTTTATTTTATTAGTAAATAAACTTAAAAATAAATTACCAATAACTAGTAAACTAGTCATTTATCGGTATTATAAACATAATTTAACGATAATTTGTTGTAATAACCGAATATGGTTAATCAAAAAGTATTAAAACTTTGTTGATATTTGATATACGAGGTATGCCAGGGCATGTACAGTTTTCAACAATCGTCAAAAAGCAAAATACTTACTATAATTTACTACAATTAATGGCTACATCCGAGTTTCGTCCCAATAATTTTTTTTTATATCCATTCTGTCCCAGTTAAAAAAAAATGAACTTATCAGTCGCCTTTTAAAAAATAGTATACACCAATTCCGTCTCTAATAAAAAGAAGATTCACTACAATACTGTTAGAAAATATGACATTAACATCTGGAACACTAAAAAAAATTTTGGCAAATATTGTATGGACTATCTGTGTCCAATTATGTTTAACTCTATGCCTTTATATCTTAAAAAAATATTTTTCTCAACTGTAATAAAAAGATTCTATTTAGTTATCCAATAGAAAATCTTAATTTTTAAACCACCTGGTTTAAAAATTATAGTGTTTGTTATTTAGAAATTAATTTTTTTATTATTATTATTTATTTATTTGCATATATAGAAATTTTAATTTAATTCATATTAATATCTATCTTATTTAAGTTTTGTTTTTTTTTTTATTTTTAAAGTTTGTTAATAATTAACTTACTTACCCCACCAAAAGTTATGTTTAAAGGAGTAAATTAATCTAAATATAAACTTTTACTTGTACTTGTTTATTATGATATGTTAAATAAAAAAAAATTTATACTATTACTATGTACGTATTAATATACTTTACCTATAATAATGCACTTCCAGTGTTCAACATTTTTTTTATTTCTTTATGATAACAAACAATTTTTATTCATTTTCATAATTTATATTATACCTTACTATTATTATACTATCCATTTTTAATTTAAATTATTATTTTACCAGCACGGGCAAGCTCAAATAACGACTGTAAAGTTTATGAAATCAATGTTAATTTAATTTCTAAATAATTTCTATATATTATTATTGATATTGTTATCGTAGTGATACATTTCATATAAATCTAAATTTTAAGTATAACCGATTGGTTAAAGGTTAAACTTACAAAACATATAATTTATAAATGATGCCAAATGTAAATGGACGAAATAAGTACATCATTTAAATATTTAAAAAACCCGGGACCGATTTGGTATACCGTTAAATTAAATTTTTATTTTTGGGACGGAACTCGGATGCAGCCTAATCGCACGTGGTATCGACGGAAATTTTTCATTAGGAAGAATAGGGAGAGTAATAAGTTAAGTTCGGTTAGGTTAGTGATGAAAGAGGGGGGAACGAACCGCAATATGACCACCAGTTCGATGCACCAGTCCACTGTAACGGTGTACAGACCGCAGTTCTGCAGAGCGATCCCCGCCACCATCATGCCGAGCAGCGGTGGCATGCCATTGATGGCACCCATGGCCCGGGCTGCAACCATGCTGACCAAGTACAGCATAAACAGCGAGGCCACACTGCCGCCCGGCACGGCCATCAGTGACGGGTTCACATTAACGCGCAACAGGTACCAGAAGACCAAGACAGCCAACAATACGGCGACCGCGTGGGCCGCGGTGGCAGGCCACCGACCATCTAACCGGTCCAACAGCCACCGGACGCCAGTGTCGTTATTGTCGCTGATGAACCTCACGCGATGGCGGCCGGAGCCGTTTTGTGTTTGTGTTTCCAGTACTGATGCAACCGCTGCCGGGCGGTCCCTCATGATGACACCTGTGTGCGAGAACAAAAACCAAACAGCAAATTGGCGATGTAAAAAGAAAAAAAAAACCCGTTTAAAAAACACTTTGTAAAACGATTATGGTATAATTATTTTTGATAAGCACTCGCGAAACTTGGAACAGTCATGATTCGTGGCGGCGGCGTGTGCGCTTACTAATGAAATCGTGAAATCACAAGGCGTCGCGTAAGTACCAACGGCTGATGTATGGGGAGGGGGCCAGTAGAGGCGATGGGCGGTGACAGACCACGAAACAAATAATATGATTATATTTGAATGATGATTAATAACGATGATAGTTAATTTTGATATGCTGCGATCAAGACCGAAGTGTTTTACGTTTTAACAACGAACCAGTGGCGAAAATTCAATAAGAGCATCGATAAATCGCGTTGGAATTATAGAAAACACCTAATTATATTAGTATCTTAAGAATATTTTAAACATAATAACAGGCGCATCGAATTTTACCATAATAGATACGTCTTAAAACAATATACGAACATGTTCGTGTTCAACGCCTACTTGAAATACGACGATTTTGTGTTTTAAAACGCTCGATAATTATTGCAATCTTTTAAATAAGTCGAAATTTTATTATTGTTGTACTGATAGTTTCACGCTGAAATGTGTCTAGTGTGATGATCATCACTTAACATACGACAACTGACTATCGAATAAGAGGAAGAATTGAAGTATTATAATAATATGAAATAAGCGAAATTACACTAAAAATTAGTTTTCCACGAGGGAGGAAATACCCCTGTAGTCCTCCGCCCCACAAAATACGCCATCATGTCGAGGGTGCTAGCCCTACAAAAATAAATCCGGTGGCGTTGGCTATTAAACTTTTAGAAAGTCGTCGATAACCGTCGGTCAATATCATCATACGTATTCGTTACACACTCGAAAAACCCTCTTAAATCGACCACACACGCATTAGTCTGTACTTACGTTTTCTAAACCGAATTACCGATTATTGACTATTTAAACGAACAGGTATAATACGAGTGTGTGTAAGTTCCTCTTCTGAAATCTGTTCTATATTGACTATATAATATATTTATTATACTTTATAGGTATATATAATTTGGTTAGGTTCTAATGGTTTTTTACAACCGTCAAACGTAGGTTCTATTATGAATTCGCACTATATAAACGAATAAAATCGAGTTCGGAATCAAGAAACTATTTCAACAACACTACTTAATCATGTACCAAATAATAACAAAGCACTTCAATAAAAAAGTTTTACTTTTAGTCGTATTATACCGTGTACGCTTATTTGATCTTGACAAAAAAAAAGAACCAATTTCACACAATCGTACTTACTAAACTTAAATATATTATACAGGTGCATATTAAGTAGGTAATCATATTTATAAGATTATTCACATGCCTTCATAAAGATTACTAACTCTTTGTTGTTGTTTTTTTTTACATCTTTGTTATTTTGATGTATACTTATGGATAGTTGCATTGGGTAACAAGATTTCATATAATTTATTTAAAAAAATATTGTGTTAGGAAAAATGTATCAATTAATTATTTTACCCACTAATCATCTTAAACGTAAATAATATAATCGTTTTTTTAGCAATCCCGTATTGATAAGATAAATATAAAGTTAGCCAATTTAAATATATAAATCAATATTAATGTGTTTATTGGGATTTATTATTATTTGCGACCTTGAAAATATTTATTACAACGAAAATAATAATATATTATGACAAGAGGTGTTAAAACAAATATTTAATACAAAGATTTATCCTAAACTCTTTCAAACTTTATATATTCTAATAGCTAATATAAAACGTGCTGCGAACATCAGAAAGTCTGTACATATTTAAAAATCTGTAAAACTGCAAAATATAGGTAATTAAAGTATTATATGATATGTATGCAGGTATGTAGATACTCAAAAAATTATTCTTTATTCTTAGAAAATTATTAACGTTACGTCTAAACATTAATTAAATAAATAACCGATTAAACTTTAAGTCTCGAATAGACGAATTCGATTATTATAATTATATTTTCTATTAGGATAAAGTAACAAGGTTTTGTTCTGTTTTTTTTTCCAACCGCTTGTTTAAAATAGTTAATTGTTTGTTGAGAAATTCCAAAAAAAAAAATATTCTACACAAAACTAACAAAAAAAGCCTAAGTCCTAGTTAAAAAGTATAAAAAAATAAAAAATAAACAATCAAGATAAATAAAAAAAAAAATAAATACCAAACGCGATCGAAAACAAATAATTTGACTGAGAAAATTAGCGTAGTACCTATTTTAATGTTTAAATAATAAAATATGAAACATCTGACGAATAAATCTAGTACAATAATTTAAAATGGTTTTCCGTACAATAGGTAATAATAATATTATTATCATCGTTTTTAAAACTATTCAATCAATAAAAATAAAAAATAAAACAACAATTTTTTTTTTGTAATAGGTTTTTTCCATAACCTAATCGGAAATCTAAGTACTTAACCTCGACCCTTGGTATAAAACGATCAGGACTTTGAGAATCAATAGCGTGTAAAAAATTTAATCTAACCGAACAATTCGTTTTTTCTCTTTTCTCCGTGCATATATTATTGAACACAAAACAAAATAATTAATAAGAATCTAATCAGACTTATGAACACATTAAAATATGTTTCTCAACGATCCGTAAAGACGAATGTATATATTTATTGGCCGTTTTCAATTGGACATAAGTGGAAATTAATTTCGTCCAATATTATATTATCATTTATCAAAAATAGGTTGCATGTAGTACAGAAAATAAATCCTTATGAAAATTCACTATATTATATAATAATTAGAAATAACGTCGGAAAAACAGCAAAGTTTTAACATTTTTTTTATATATAACTGTGCTGTAACTTATACCGCCGTGATTAAGTAACTTGAATAAATTACAAAGTTACAACACGGTAAATTATTAGTTAGGTATTTATAGAAAAAATTAGTTGGAATAATATGCATTGCTTTGTTGCGAAATTCGCTTATTTTTAAAAAACTTTTTTAAAGAAATATATAATAATATAAAGTAAACAAAACGCGCGCAATTACTGCAAAACCCAAACTAAGTTGATAATTATTATTAATTACGATTACAGATATTTCATTGTTATGCTAAACTATTACAATAGTTCCGATTTCAGAATATCGATTTCAATGATTCTTTTATATCATCGATAGTTTGATACGACTATATATTTTTAACTATGCAGAAATAGAATATAATTATTGCATTTTTATTATAATAATTGTTTATTGTTCCGAAACGTGCTATCTAAAAATACATAAAAAAATGACTTATCAAAACTTTTCTTGGAATCTAGAATACCTATAATTGTATTTTGATAACACTGCATTTTGCAATACAGATGATTGTAATAATATCGTTTTTAAGCAAATGGAAATAATACTATAAACTACTATCAACAGTAATAAATTAATGCTGTTTTTTAATCAGGCTGGTCGGGTACATCTGAGTATAGAGGATTTTAATTGAATACACTTTTTAACAATCTGTTCCATTGCGTATTAAAACAATATATTAACGAAATATTGTAAGTGAAGTGGTTCAATTGAACAAATCAATATGATTGTTGTTATTAGTTTCTAAATGTAAATAAAGCTTAATGAGTTGAACCCCGATTTGAGTTCACTTTATTCGTGTACAATAATATACATTATGGCAGTATGAAAAGTCTGATCCTTGACAAATTTAGATAATTATTCTTTATATTATTCATAAGTAATTCTCTTACAATTATTTTAAAATGATTGTAAGAGAATATCTTATATATATCATTTTAAAATAATATTGGCCATTGTTAAAAAAAAAAAAAAACAGATTACATATAAGTACGCGGAAAGCCCGAAAAATGACATGTTTTCATAGGTATCTGTATATATTTACGTACTTTTTGATTTATGTTGATTGATTTATAAAAAGTTAAATAAAATGTACATGTGTAAAAATGTGTATGTGTGTTTTACAATGTAAAAAAAAGACATTTTTTCAGCCAGTCGTCAGATATAAAATGTAAATAGAGTCAATTGTAAATGAACCGACTAACAATATGTAAAGTATAGTCGTAGATTTATTTCAATATATTCAATAGTTAAACAAAATTGGTACTGACATGCTAGCAGCTATTTTCCGATTTATTTAACTTGTTTGGTCTCACACAAATTCTCAAAAATTTGAGATGAAAAAAGGACACGGACAGTTGTAATTTATTTTCAAGTTAAAAATGTATTAATACAATGTCCATATTAAAACTATTATAACATATTTAACAGAACTTTGTTCGGAATTGTTTGACGTTTGCAATGATTTATCCTACCACTTTTAATCTTCTTTCCTAATCAACGAATAGATTATTTTCATCGCGTTTCATTTTTCTCCAAAATATTGTTAAAAAAATAGAGTAACAGTTATGTTTCGGTTTTTGCTTCTTTTTTTTTAATAATTGTAACTTACGTGTCGTATTAAAATAATTTGTATTGAACATTTTATATGAATGTAAAAAACCTAATTATTTATCAACAGCGACCAACTACTTGTTTCATGTATTTTGTTAGTTAATTCTATCTAAATATTCTAATCAACCTCTGTTTCCATAATTATAACAATAATATTATAATTGTATGACCGTAAACCCAATGTTTTAGACGACAATAAATATCGAAAAGGAAACTAAACAAATATGTTATACAATTTCATGCACGTATATGATTTTTTATCTTGTTTACTCTGAGTACCTATAAAATATTGAAGATAAGACCGCGATGAATCGAAAATACTCAAACACAGTCCATAATATAATATGAGTGCGTATTCCTAGTATTTAGCATTAGCGCACAATGAATATTTCACAAGTGCGTCAAACGTAAAAATATCTGTAAGTATACCCACTTTTTGCCCAATTTTGTTAACTGTTAATATTCATAAAATATAAAAACATCATGACTTAAAGCATATAGTTGTAAAAAGGTAAATTAGGGAAGAGGGGAAGGGCTTGGGGGCTTTGTCCCCACGACTCTCTTTAATAACTAGTGTTAATACTTAGTGGTTGTGATCAACGTCTAGCATCTATGTTTGCCTCATGAAATAAAAAAGTTCATGCTGCCATTAATAGAAATCACTAATCTACCATATGTATTCAAAGGGTTGCGGTCGACACCTTAACGTCCTCTGATGTGTACTTTACAACTTTACCCATCAGACGCGTCTTAAATAAAATGACGTTATCGATATTTTGTGGTTCCTACCGGTAACTAATGTACTGCCATAGTTCACAGTTTGCGGTTCGTTATTTTTGCTGCCGATAACTGAACAGTTCTCGTCTGCGTCGTCGTTTACAGCCGTGGAGGCGGCATCGAATTGAAGATAATTTTTTCTATAGAACAATAACAAATGATAATAACGTTTTTCGTTTTATTAGCAAACTATAATAACACTGCGATGCGCGAAATCGTATTCGTTTATACCTGTTAGTGCTCATTGTGCGGTCGAATATAATAATGTTATAATCACGGAGTTACAGCAATCGAAAAAGAAAAAACACGACGACTGACTACGGCGGATGATCTCTGCAGTTTAAGAATAATGTTACAAAACTATTGCACCCAATTAATAATAACAATAATACGATTAGGTACGTATTGTTGTTTTCGACTGTTCGACGTGTGTTCAAATATTATGGACTTCGGTTTACGCGACATACTGTATAATATAACTATATAGGTTAAACTGTATGGTTAACCATACCAGCGAATGTATACAGGGTGATTTTTTTCTCATGAACCAGTAATTATTTCAGAGGATTTTAAATGAAAATACAGTAAGACATGTACCTATTGGTTTCATTATGATGTGTTTTTGTTCTATCTATAAATACATTTTATTGAGGATATTTTTTCATGTTTTCATTGGTTTTATTAATAATTTGGAAAACGTAAAGAAGATTCCGTTATATTCTTTTTAATTTTTTCTTTGCAACTTGATAAGTACAATCATAGAGATCTGATATTTTCACAGAATACTCATATTTTTTTTTTAAAGCTAGCTCAACAGAACGTTGTTCAGAATCATTTTTACTTTGCAATGGATGATGATCATTACCTACGTATGTAGTTTTAAATTAAATAGCAATCATAACCTAACTTCCCAACTTCTTACTCATAACAGTATGAAACATCTGAACTAGCTCCTTAAAAAAAATGAACTTATCGAGTTCAAATTATCCATTACCCAGTATCGTGAAAGTCCAAGGAAAAAATAGGGACCATAACATGTTAATCATAGGAATCTACCTACCTAATAATAATAAAAAAAGAGCAAATTAATTGAAAAATAGTTCGTTTTTCGAACAATTTTTACGTACGTATTATTTCATGTGTTTGTGGAGTGTGTATGGATTTGTTTTATTATTTGAATACGTTATCATGAAGGCGATAACGCTCGAGTAAAAAAAAAACCACGCTCAACAATATTTTATTACTACCTCCGTCGGTTATAACTTTTTTGTTTGTTTTTCTTATTTTTATCATAATAAAAACGATCCACCGAATTATTACCAACTGCGGATTACCCGCTGTACGTGGCGACAGTATAATGGAGGAAAACGGTTTGCACGATAAAATTATAATATTTTATCGAATGTGTTCAAGGTGTTTGGCACGATAATATTATAATAGCGCATAGGTTAGTGTATTGGTATAAACGATATTATGGAGCAGCTACCCAATTATATAATGGTTAAAAAAAAAAACACACAAATTCTCGAGCAATTCTCGGTCACAGTTAAATTTATTATTGATCGTGTTTTAAACGGATTTTAACGTTAAATTGAATTTTAAACGCTAAATAAAGTGAATAAAGACATTTTTATCCATATTAAACCAAATCAAAATTTGCTTCAGTTTGTTAGCTTTGAACACTCCTTCAGGCTACAGGCCATCCTAATAAAACCAGGGGATGCAATTTTGTATACGTTTAGCGTTAGTATAAATCAATGATATACTCTTTGAGAACCTTAACTTATAACTCTTACCCCTACTATTTTTACCTTTAAGCTTTATATTTTTATCTGGTTTAAATACCTCCAAACACTATTTAAGTGACGGCAAAAAAACAGCTGTGGAGGAAAGTTTGACTTTAGTGACAGAAATCTGCTCCTTACGAATTTATATTTACATAATTTTATATACAGTTATATACTGTTTATATACTTACAATAATCATATTTCAATAACACATTTTAAAAAAAATATTGCCGGTAAAAGAAGATTGTATTATTTCATTGCAATGATATTATTGCGACGAGAAACAAATAGTATATTTTTTTTAAATTTTCTAATTTTTTAATTATGTCATAAATAATACAGTTATATACGCATAATTTTTATGATCTCATTACTTATTCTTAAATTATTTTTAAAAGTTTCAAATAAAACTTTTTTTTTATAGTAAAACTTCACTAAAGGATTATTATTTGGTAGCCGTTATTATAGTAAAGTTGCCGTGTGAACCCACGGTCGCGGTATTCTGCGAAGAAATGTACTTAGACTTTATTTTTTTTATTTTGATGAAAAAATAATGGTCAAATTTTGTAAACCTTTAAAAAATATTTTATTTTTTGTTTAATAAAAGATATTGTTTAACCAACAAAACGTAAATCGTTTATAGACAATCATATTAATGCGAAAATTGTTTTAAAGTTGTCTATCTTAAAATATAATATTATAACATTTGCATACCTACAAAGTATTCCAACTATTTAAAAAAAAAAGGATGAATAAATTGTGTTCATATTATAACTAAAGTACATCAACAGGTTCCATGATGCTGAGAATAAAAATATAATTAATTATCGCACAGGCCAATGATACGATAATTGATTGATTTTAGAAATTAAATCCCTTACACCTAGGGGTTTAACGGATGGTCGAAATTAGTGTGAAAAATTATTACTGCAGAGTGTAGGTTTATAGATAAGTAACTTTATAGGGAAGCGTAGAAGAAGTGCAATTTGGATGGAAATCATATTGTTTCATTAATTTAGCGAATAAGAATGGTTTAAAATATCAGTTACTATTTTAGATTTATATTTTATCTGATAACCTATATTTAATTTTTACACACATACTTTCTTATGTTTGCTAAAATGTGCTATACTTGAAAATCGGATCAAGATTTCTGGTATAAAAGTTGTTCGTAGAAAAATAAAAAAATAAACTATTTTGCCAGAAGGATATGATTGATATAACTGATTAGAATTCCAACATATTTTACGTGTAATAATAATAATAATAATAATAATTTTTTATATTAAGTAATTTATACACGGTGCGGCGGTAATTTCTACTTAAATATCGACAAAGTACACACTTATATTTCACAGGTCCGTAATCCGATTTACTTTATAGTTAGCACGTACAGGTTTTTAACTTTTGTTTTATTATTGTATTATAAAAAGTATAGGTATAAATAACATCCTGTAAAACCTCAATGTATCAATCAACCGAAATTAATAAACAATATTATCATGATTTAGATACTCACCTAAACTTTATATATAAAAAAAAACTTATAATTTATACATGATTTTATTGAATAAATTATCGTTTTGTTACGTTTTATCGGGATATTCTAATTATTAAATTTATTTTACACTTTTACAAAAATAATTCAATTTTTTGAATGTAAATATAGAATAAATCGATAGTCAAATGAAATTGTACGTATTTGAAGTTAGTTTATTTTATAGGCAACACAATTTTATAATAGCCAATACCGGAGTGTTCGAAAATAATTTTTATACACTGGGCACTTTGACAGAGCATTATTATATATCACTCATCATTATATATTCGATCTTTTATAAAGACTCACTGATTCCACGCGATATATACAAACGTCAGCAGACAATTTAATTGAACAATTATACGCGTGAGTGTTTCGTTGAGTAAATCGACTTCGTTTTTACATAAAATATATTCACGGCCGGCTTGATTTTGTATAGTCATTCAATAAACATCATTTAACTAAACTAACCAAAAATAGTAAATAGTAAACGATAAAAGCTCATGTATTCATAAACAAAATTCTCATTTCGAGTTTAATCACGTACCATTGGGTACCGTTTCTCGTTAACTTGACAATAGTCTACTACACCTCGTTTATTTTTATCGCTATTCAATAGTTTCCTTTAGTGCCTATCGTTTCTTGTCTTATATTCTTGCAAACATTTTTACATAATCTCATTTTTAATTTTCGTACTTTTATATAAGACAGTTAAGTTCAATGTCTGAGCTAACATCTCGATTAAGTGACAACCTGAAATGGAAATAGAAAACAGAAATGCTAAATACTATGTCGGGAAGGTTAAATTTTGAAGTAGAAGAGTGACGCCCCGCTAATGCTCAAAAACGTTAACATGAAATTACGGTAAAGTCGGACTTATAGTTTACTCGAAGTTGAAAGAACCGAAAAAAAGTTCGAATTATCGATTTTTCGTTTTATTTTAATATTATTGGTTTTAATACTGATATCACAAACAATCATTATCTTAAAATCGTTAACATTGATACGTAACGGAGCACTAAAGTGTATACGTAAGTGAACGAATATCGTGTGGTATTACCCAGAAGTAAATTAGTTACATAAACTGTGTCAATAACCCATAATACAAACAAAATTTACTTTCGATCGTAGATGTACATACACATGAGAATAACCCGAATTATAAGGTATAATCATAATAAAATTGAAATTTCTAGTTAACCACGAAATATTCGAAATTTTTTTAAATCGTTTAAATAGAAAATTCCAGGGACCGCGGAAAAAGTTCGAAATATCAAAGATTTCGATTTAATAAAGTTCTAGTTAAAAAAGTTTGACTTTATTATCATAATGCTATAAAGTATCATTAAAATATACCGATATTTTGATAGGGAACAGTGAAACATTGCGCATGGCACATTATCATTTTTCTGAAACCTATATAGCAATATCCGCTAATTGTCAACATTTGTCAATTAGATATTCAAAAATAATACACGTTAATTATATAACTGAAAATAAACCCAATCTGCATTCGATTTATTGTTTTCGAAATAATTGCGGATTTTAATTAGGGAATCGAAATATACTATATTATACATTGACATATTTGATAATATCAATTACCTAATTAATTAAATACAACATAGGTACCTATTTAACATTATAACTATAATAGTATACAATTATTATTTGTCCTCTTTCTTTAATTATAATACCGTTCTAATAATAATATTATTTTTGGTTTTTAATTAAGTATATTTTTTTGGTGTGTGAGGTATAATAAAATAAATAAATTGTTTAATATAATTTATAGGCACGGAAATCGCCGTAGATCAATCATTGTTACATTTTTTTTTTTTTAGATTTTGAAGTAAATCTACAAACTGTATATAATAATATAATCTCTACATTTGTAAGAACAGATTTTTTTTAAAAAACGTAACGAATGTCATCGGTAAAACGTTATAATTTTGTACACACAAATATTAATAAATAATGAAAAAAATAATCAGCTGATACTGGAGACGAGTGTGCCACTGTTGTAGATGGGAAGTTGGGAAGGTAGAATATGTATAGTTATTTAATTAATTTAATTAAAAATGATTTAAAGTGAAGTTTGTTTGCATACGTTTTTAAAGACCTTATGATATACATATATATATATATATATATACGATTTTAAATGAAATTTGATTATTATAAAAAAAATTATTACCTAATTATACACGGTACCTTTTTTGTCTACCATCAAGTACAACTTAGAATAAACATCCTGTCAAATTTTCAAGCAATTTCTGTTTGGTCGAATAATTTTATCCACAGAGTACCTGCCAAATAAAAATTACGTAAAAGATTCTCAAAATTAAAATATATATAAAGAATTCAAAAATGGGTGAAATATTTTAAAATTTTGACCACGTCTAAGAAAGGAAATTATTAGTTTTTTGAGAAAATTTAAAATTTGAAGTCCTTTCGAATATTTTTCACTGAATTACAACAAAAAAAACAAAAATTGAAAATAATAAAAGTATTACTATTGTCAATTTTCCCGTTCATTCCAATTGTTTTTTCTGTTTTGCTCAATTAATAAAAAAAATACAAGAAAAATGAAAAAGACTTAACAACTAGATTAGAAATGTAACAAAAAAGTTTTCTTGTAATTTTTCTATTGGTGCAATATTTCTGGTATAAAACATTGAGTGTGCAAAGTTTTAATAATGACATCGTACACCCTAAATTTGTTCATTTTTCGTCTTTTCCAGGTTTTTTCCAATTATTATGACCTTTTAAAAAAGGTGCTATACTTGACACATCAAAGCTAATTTTATTTTCAGAAAGTAGTTAACACGCAGAAAAAAAAACACATCACAGTAAAACGAACTCCGCTCCAAATCTAAAAGAAGATAAAATTAGTAATAGAATTAATAATATTATCCATTAATAATTTTATATATTTAATATATTATATTATTTTGTGTTTATGAATATCGGTTTCATAATATCATAAACTTGATTGGTGAACAAATTTTATTTATCTTTCTATACACATGATTACGTATTTATTCAACATTTACAATATTTTAGATCAGAACTGTAACGAAGAAGCTATTATAGATTTACTAAAATGTGAATAGTATTTTTTTAATTACAATCCATTTTTTTGGTGAATAAAATGCTCTGATCTTTTCATGCAATTTTTCAAAAGATGTAGAATTATACCTCTCGGTGGAATTTTCTTTGTACAATTTTACAGAAATTCTCAATAGCTTATCTGTTTATCCTTTTTTTTCCTAGAAAACAATCTCTTAAAAATGTTCTGAATTGTGCACATCATAGCTTAACAGATAATTGCACCAGGTTATACTTTATTTGAATATTTTTCTGAATTTTTATAATAATAATACAAACAGTTGTTGATGAAAAAACTTACTTTTAAATATTAAATTACTAAAAATACATTTTCGAAATAAAAAATAAAATATTGACGGTACATTAAATTCGGGTCGTAGTGTTAAGGGATCTATTGGTTTTACTATGATATGTGTTTTTAGATTAGCTTTTTAGATAGCTTCTCTACACTTCAAATCTGAAGTATCGAGTATACATAATCGTGTTTATAAATAAATAAATAACATTAATTCCCTAGAAACCGATATTTACTAATTACTAACGTTAAATAGTATATCTATTACTAAGGGCCGATTTATACGGTGCCAGCCGGCGTACCAGTCGATGTTTCCAGTTTCTGAATGCCAGTGACTGGTAACGTGTAAACCTTCCCTGGCAGTTCATGGCAAAGCCAGTGAGGAACTAGCGCGCCAACAGATGCCAACGCCAGTAAAATATTTTTGTTTTATTGGTACAGTGGCACGTTGGCTTTCTAGTTAATTACAAACTGTAAATTACTCAAATTGATAGCACACCATAACTGGTGTTGTAGTGTACAACAGTAGCCGGCATGCCAGTCACTTACTACACGTAAACCAGGCTTAACTGTACCTTATTTTAGATTCAGGACGGAAAGAAGGATCTATTGGTTTTACTGTGATATGTGTGCGTGTTTTTTTTGTCCGAAAACGACTTTTCGAAATGAAAAATTGCTCTGATGTAGTAGTGTATCAAGTGTATCACCTTTTCTAAAAGGAAATTGTATCTAGTTAGTGCATTGGGGAGGTTATTTTTCGATTTTACAAGTGGTTTTCGAAATCATGTTTGGGTTTTTGAAATCGTTATTGCTTTCGTTATTATACGTTTCTATGGTTCAATGATAAGAGAACGATATTTCCGTCGTGTTGCAATTGATCAGTCGGAAAAACGATGAAGTAATGACTAGTGCACCGATAAATATTATTTCGAACCCTATATACTCCGGGTTACAGTGCTATACGTATTCCTAGTATTATTATAATACAATAATAATATGTTTGTTGCAGGTACCTATATATGTATAGCAAAGATAAATGAAATTCAAAGCGCTTTGAATGGAATATTATCCATATTAATTATAATAAGACCACGACGATAGTGTACCATAATGCGAGTAATTTGGCAATTTTGTATATAATAACATTTAGGTCATCTTTCTCCCGCGGGGTCCTATACCGTTTCGTCTCCCTTATCCTCTGCACTATATTGTATATATACGGAGAATGTGTTTATTGCGGGATAGCTTAGGTATATATATTTGTATACGCATTATAATTGTCAGCGTTTCTCAAGGGACGGCGGCCTTCGGACGTGGAGAGGGCAACGTCTAACGCAATCATCGTTTACAAATTGGTTAAATCATTCATCCTCGTTCATGAAGAAAATTACTCTCACCCACTCGCCGCCGTCACCGCCGCCGTTCTCTATGTATATAACCTCTAAATTTCTTATTCTCCGCCATTGGCCGCCGCGGTAAAGGTCCCGAGCGCGCGCAAAACTCCACCCATGTTCATTTTTTTCCCCTTCTAAAAGTTTCTCGCTCCACGATTACCTTCGATTCGTTATTATTATTATTATTATTTTTTTTTTACTCATTCGATAACGCATCGATCCGCACGGGTCTTTTCATTACATTATACCGAGTACTGGATGACTTATAGACGGGGTTCTACGACACCGCCAACCGACCGCGGCGTAAGAAGGATTTCAATCAGCTGAAACCGCACAGCTGCAGCAGCTTTAAGACTCTGCAAGCGCAATATCTGTAGTCTGCGGAGACAGAAGAGGGGGAAATCATTAAACAATCAATTTCAACGACGAAAAAAAAGCTTAAGCTTTTTGCGAAACCAAAAAGCTGCGTTAGACGTGCGCGTCTCAAACGTTTACCTACATTAAATATGTGCGCACAAAGTGAAAAAAAAAACCGTAATGACGTTAATAGGTATGTATGGACCTAGTGTAATTTTAACGTTTTTATAATGAACAATTTTAATTATTTTTAATTATTTATATTTAACAGAGAATAAAAGAAATAGGTATTTAATAAAGAGAAAGTTAAAGAAATGTTTAAAAAAATGATTTAACTGTAAAAATAATGACATTTTCTCATAATTTAAAATTTAAGTGCATGGAATAAAATAGCCTGTTTATAAAAATATTATTTATATTTAACTAAAAAAAAAAAAAAAAAATGTCGTATAATAATTTTTTTTTATTTCTTGTTATCAAGTAGTCTTGAAATGTAATCATAAAGGTTAGGAAACTTTATGATTAAATCCCATTCGTCTATAATTATTGAGGACCAGGCAATTGAGTAGGTGTTAGACAGTACTTCCCGTAGTGATAATAGAAAAGTAAAATTCCATAGAAGGGAAAACACGTAAAAATCGTAACCGACGTGGTTTTGCAAAACAAATCATTCCGAAATTCCTACATAAGCGAAATTGGAATATTTGTAGTTATTTTATACATTGTTTTTTTAGCATTAGGTGCAGGCTAACCCGTCAGGACGCCTTGAAATTTCCCGGTGGGCCTATATTAAGCAAATATAGGCATGTGGCCAGTGATTTAACGAAACATTCAAACAGAAATTTCGATTACGTTAGTTGAAGATGATTTTTATTATTATTAAGGTTATTAATCAATATACAATAGTGTTCATTGTATTATGGTGGGCATATGGAAGAGAAGTTGTGTTCATAGACAGAGTTCTACCATAATAATATTCATTCGTGATGCATCGACGGCAGCGGTGTTAATCTTTTTTAAAACCGAAAACTCACCTTGTTTCCGAGTGGGTTGATGAGATTTAGTTGTTATCTCATTTATTTTATGGGGATAATATTTAACATTATGTATATTCTCATAAATATTTCCATTTCATGTGATATTCGAGTCTCGTTTATTATATTCAATTTAATTATTTTATGCGATTTGTAATCAATGTTATTAGAGAGTGCTTTAATTAAAAAAAAGTCTCGAATACGGTATTTTTACATTATTCCGATTCAATAGTTGGGTTAATAGTGTTTTTAGTTTAAGCGACATATCGAAACACACGCATTAGCCTATTCCATTCTTAAATTGTTTTTATATACTTAATATAAATTATGTTCATGATAACACAGAAAAATCGATATTCCCTTATTATTCCATGGCGCCATCAGGTGAATTGAGAATCATATGGATAGTAAAATAAAATTGGCTGTCAAACTTATCGAGTTATGTTTATGCAGTTCTGTGGAATCGGAATTTCGATAAATGTTAATTAAGATTGATAAGTTTCCCAAGAAATCTCTCAGTTCATTATAGCGGAAAGATTACTTCGTTTAGAGCATAATATTATCTGAGTTTTGACATTTTTGTATTTATTATATTATTTAATGTGAACTGATATCTGGTTGGGTGAATAAAAGTAGAATTTTCTTGGTAAAATCTTCAACGGGAACTGGAAGTCGATATTATTTATTTAGAATAATTTAAATTCCCTATCTCCTACCTATGGTTAGTGTAATGTACAATCACCGGTAATTTATTTCTAGATTAACATTCCCGTGATGATATTATCAAATTGGATATAAATTCAACACATAGATGTTGCCACTTTAGATCTAAATCCCGGTGTCTTTTTTACCCCAGTCCATTCCTACAATTAGTAGTCGTTTTTCTAATCAAGGGTGAAGGACTGGAATATCGTCAGACTAATTCATAAAAGTTCTAAATCCGTATTGGCAAATATTCAAGAGAGACGAAAAACGTTTTATTAATCCGAAAATAAAAGTACTTAAAATAAATAATATTATTATTTTATGTTTATAAAACAATAATATAATTACAAATATTGATAATGTTTCATAATACTATTCCTCTGATTTGGATTTTGGTCAATTTTCAAATTAGTTCATTATCATTTCTGCTATACAACAATAGACCTGCAATCCAATATGATAAATTTCGCAGCATTTTCTTTCTATTATTTATTCATTTTTAATAAATAAGTTTTAATAAAATATGTGACGTTAGATAATATGCGTTACATAAAAACGTAGCGTTGCCCACTCTAAATATTAAATCAAAAAAACTTCGTTTTCTGAAAATTATAGTTTTATTCCGAAAAATATTTAGGATATTTATAACTGAAATTATAAGCGTCATTCATCGATAATCGATTTCATTAATATTATTATTTTTTTGTCGACGAGTTATTATAAACATTATTTTTTGACATTTTTCGCCTGAAATCAATACAATATTATTGTACTCAGATAATATTATTAGTACTAAAAATACTATCGGGATAATAGAACCTTTGATTACATATATTTAATCAACGGTAGAACTTATAGTATCAATTCATTATTGTAATGATGAATATTTCAACAATAAATTGTTTTCTTAAAATATACTTCGAAGTATAATGTAAAATATAACGTTCAATTGATATTTCGTTTCTCTTTTACTTAAATCATGTTGTATTTTTCCAATAAATCATTTTTTGTTTTTTAACAGTTAAATTGTGATCATGTTTTGCTAAATAATCAAACTTGAAAATAAAGTTACTCATAAACTAACTATAAGTAATTCGAAAGGACAATCTAATTCTAAAAAAAGAATATATTTTTATTTGCATACTTAGGACTATATTATAATTAATAATATCAGATTGACCATTTATAAGTTAAACGGGTTAAAATTTAGACTGGATGAATAGAAAAGGGTTATCGTTTAAAAATGGATAATATGAAGTTTATTATACTTCTCTACATCTCCGGTCTAATTTACAAGCTATTAACTCATAAACATAACATGCGATATTGAAACTTGTGAAATATTCGAATAAGTACTGTAGGTTTTATTATATAGGCGGGACCTTTAGCCAGGAGAACCCACCAGGTTTAGTTTCTTGGTCTATTCTTTGAGGTCTTTTAGAGGGGTTGGGGGACTACTTTACCCCTAGGTCTTTTTAGATGGTACAGGCCTCTTGCGGCGATTTATATAAGTAGTGCTGGCGCGAAGCGAACATATACAAATTCTTGTTGGGCAGGTGAGTGTCGGTACTACCCCACCGAGGTTGTATCAGACGAGAGATCGAAACTACGGGCTTTATTGTTCGAATGTATATTTTAAATACTCCAACAAATATTAATTATTATTGAATAGTAAATATTTTTCAAAACTATTTGTATATTTTAAATACAATACTTCCCATAATTATCGTTTATATATTTTTAAATTCTTTTTCAAACTATCGCATACTTGTATTACAATTTTTCTCGAAATTTAAATGGGTTTTTTACCTAACTACTTGTAAATTATTATACAAAAACTCTACAGAAATTAAGAAATAAGTATACCAAAACAAAAAAAAAAAAAAAACAAAAAAAAAAAAGAAAACCAATTTTTAAAGTATCTTTCTGTTTTTGTATTAAAATATTTTTTTTGTAGGGTTCACCAATGCGTATTCTAAATAAATCCTTTTAAAATAATACATCTATTCGTTCTTAGAATAGTTTTAAAAAGTATTATTGTTCGAATAAATGTATGAAAAAACTTATCACTTTCAACCGCCTTACAATCGTACAAGGAGTAGATGTACATTTGAAAATAGAGTTAAAATATAGCTTGAATCATTCGAAAATGATTGAATAAACTAGAAGAAAATTCACGTAACGTATAAAGAATCAAAACTGAATTTATTGAATGCATAATAGTAGACTTTATTGAATTTTTAATTTGGAATAAATACTACGGATTTATTTATAATTCGTAAATAATATATTGTTGTTGTTTTGATAGTTTCACTCGTGGTGTAATTTTTTTTTATAAATATATTTTTCAGAAAGATATTTTTTTCCGGTATTTTTGAGGATATTATACTATATTATCTAAGTTTCCTATACTATTATTATGTCACTTTGAATAACATTTAAGCGATTTAAGTTGTTACACGCAATATACACTGCTGCGAATTCAATCTATGTACTAAAATTTAATATTGTGAAGAACGATTCATTTTTCTTTTATGACACGAGTTTATTTATATTTTTCTGTTTGGCTTTACGATCATATATCTATTGTAAAAGGTACAAAATCCATATGTCCCTTGTGTTTTTAAACTTTTTGTTGCAAGAGACGATTTACATAATTTACACAGTATATATAAACTAATATTTTATTATATTATACAATTTCAAAACATGGCAAAACTAAATTATTTTTTTAAATTGTACATACTGAATACGTGCTTTAAATAAAAAGAACACGAAAATTCAGTATGCAATTATAGATGAATCGCTTTAAAAAGTATACATGTAAATATATATTTCGGTTTTTGTTTTATTATTAAAAAAAAAAAATTAACAGGTGATTGATATTTTAATAATATGATCAAATTTGCCAAAAAGAAAAAATTACCTAAAAATTACTAACTTTGTTTTTAGTGATAAAAAAACATCTTATTAGATATTGAAAAGCATTAAGTAATATGAGTTGATACGCTGATGTTCACGTATATTATGATTAGACATAAATTTAGATTTTCTATAATATTATTATAATATACGAAACCGTGTAATTGTTGATTATCAATATCTTAAATCGAATGTATAAACTATTATAGTTCACGCACGAAAACGGTTTGTAGAACGATTTTTTGTAAGTATACAAATAATATTTGCATCACGAATTTCGCGAGAACAAAGATTATTTTTGTAGTCGGTCTTGTAATAAAATACGCGGGAAAAAAATGCTCGTTTAAGGAAAATTCGAAATGTTAAAAACTATAATGTGATATTACGTATTCAAATATGCGACGGTTGTGTGTCAATTGGATTTCGGCAATAATCTGGGACCAAATAACTGTATGCTAAACGCACCTAGTGGTGCCGTCAACAAAATCGAGATCACTGCGATCGTGACCAATTGTGTTGCGCATTGGACGTCTTGCTCTGTGCCCAAAATCCTCGCTATTTCCAAAGCTACTGGGGCGAGAGCGGCCTAAAAAATAAAAAAATTAAAATCATACAAAATTAAAAAGATAAAAAAATACTTTATCACACCGTGGGTCTTTTGGTAGAACATTGCCGATGAATTACATAGGACCTAATTTATTAGTATATACGAATTTTGAAATTTTGATTCAATCAAAAAATAACAAGAGACCATTTCCATTGCATTTGGATCCAGTTAGTGAATAAGAAAGTTTTACGACATAAGTGCCAATGACGTAAAAATTACATGTCATTTGTGCCAAAATTATTTAAACATAAGTGCCAAAATAAAAATATAGGTACTCAATATATTATGACAAAAACGACAAATGTATAAACAAATAAATATAATTTGTACCAATATTAATATTTTATAAATTTTAAAATATTTAAAATCGTCAATAAACAATAATAGTTAACATTTTAATCGTGATGATGAAATATTAATATACATACGCGTTTAACTGTGTGAGTGTGGCACGCTCTATCGGACTCTTATCAGATAAACAATAAATGTGTTTATTGTAATAAGTTTAGAATTATCGAACGATTTAGTTCAAAATTAAATATCCGGAATAAAGCATACTACTAGATACCTGCTAATAAAAATTTTGGCGCTTTGGGATCAAATTTTAACAAAAATCTTAAATATCATGATATTTTAAAACATAACTGAACTTCGTTCAGAATCATATTTCACGTTAGTAATGATTTATCATTGTTTATAAATAGAAATTGAATTCCTTTATATTCTCAGTTTCCTACCATCAACAGTGGTACACCCATGAGCATTATCTGCTCATTTTTTGTTTTTAACTGGGTAAGTTAAAGTTTATTTAAAAAATTAACTTACAAGTTATTATTAATTTATAAAGGTTTTTAACTAATTACTATCCAGCTTTGATTTTTATCGACCAAAACATTGTTTTCGTGAGTAAAACTAGTGAAACTTAGCAAGCCCTCTCACAAAAAAATTAAAATTAAAATAAAACCCTTATCTAACGCGGAGTTTGCCAGCAAAACCGCGTATCGGAGAAAATCGCATCGAGTTACGCATTAACCTATAAATCACACGAATTATAATAATATATTGTGTACCCAGAGGTCGGCGGAACTTGTCGTATTATAATTGTAATAATAATAATATTATTATTATTATTATTATTATAAACGCGTGCTAAATTGTTGGTTGTAGTTATAGGCCGGGAATCCGATTTTCCGGTACTTTAAGAGTGAGGTGCGGTAGAGGAAGGGAAGGGTAGAGGGGGCCGATAAAATATGGACACGGGTCTAATTGGCTGCAAGTACAACGGTTTGATTATTACCTGTACGGTGGCTTTTGGAAGCCACGCGATATTGACAAATAGTACTTCTTTGCGGCTAAATCTTGTCCCGATCACCGAACATGTAGTTACAATCAGGCGGACCTACAAAACGGACAAAACATGTATATTAAAATGTATTGTATTATACGGACATGTCATGATATAGGTGAATATTGGGTATTATGGTAGTAGGAGAGGGGTATTCTCGGAATACACGACAAACGTTGTTCGCTGATAATTAGTATCTATAATCTATATATTATACCTAAATAATCGTGCATTCGAAAATGCAATGTTAGCGATGAACGGCGATACCAATATCTAAGTATTGTCATTGAAACGATAAAACGCGTTTTGAAATGTAACGTATTTTCAAGCGCTATTACAATAAGACAAAAATTGAACTTGCGCTAGGTACTGATACAAACTCTTTTGTATCAAACATAACGATAAATCTTATCATTCCTTATCACTTATACTTAAACAAAATCACGATTTATACTAAGTTTTGCTAAATTTAAATTAATTTAATTAATTAATACAAATACTGTATGGCTTTTAATGAATCAAAATTTTATTTAAAATTCTATTTAATAATGAATATAAAAACTTGTATATTGTCAAAAATGTGTATAGAATAATTTTTAATATTATTGTAATAGTACAGTACCGTATACATGTTAAATCCTTTCCTATATTCCCATGTTTTTGTTAAGTACAGTTTACACCACAGTGACATTCCCGCGTGAATCGTTGAAAATTGTTAAAATATTTCAAAACCATGTTAGATAATTTTAAATTAAAACGTAATTTTTTTCGTAACCAAAATATGTATTTACATTTTACTATAATTATATTTAACGATAAGTATTCGAATAACAGATTGTGTCGGTTTTTAAAAATTATATATAAACAAAAAATGATAATATCCACGATGGCCTTTTCGGATATGTATCAATCCTTTCTTTTGTTATATATTTTGGATAGTAATGACGATGCGATATAGAGAAAAATTCAAAATTTGGAAATTAGTTTTATCAGTCTACATATTTTTTTTAACTATTATGTTATCTTAACAATCATATGTATATTGCGATTATAAACTTTTATAATGCAAAATAAATTATTAAAACAATAGGTGGAATAGCCATGTAGTTTTTTGTAGGTTATGACTTTCTCAACTTCTAAACGTCTTTTCTTAATTAGTAAATATTGTTATTTTTTAGATATGATTAAGTAATTAAATGCAATTTATTGCACCATAAAAATATAATAAAAGTACACATTATTTTAAATCTTCTTATTAGTTTATAGAAAACTATTTTTTTCTTATTTTTCTTCATTGAAAAGGCGTTATGTCCCTTCAATGTTTTTACTGTCTATGGGTACAAATGCATTTAAAATATTTCCTGTCACGCAATAATATAAAGAATATAAAAAGTCTATAGAATAATCTTTTTGGCTTTGTCTTATCCCACGAAAGTGGTGGTGTCAGTTACTCTCTTTTTTCACTCTAAAAATCTCTATACATTCATTACCTCTTCCTTTGTTAATTCCTCGTATCCTCATAATAATATGATATCATTTTATCTCTAATATTTCGTCTGACCAAAAATTAAAATTACGTACTACAAGTCCGAAGGCGAGTACCAAAAGTCCCAGACCGATGGAGTTGCCGCTTTTGAGCAGCTGGAAGTCTAGATCAGCACCGATGAATGCGAACAGCACCGGCTGGAGGACTACCCAAGCGTATTCGAACACGTCTACCACAGGATTGTTTTGTTGTTCAACTCCGCCGTCGTTGGTTGAAATCGTCGGGTTATTGCGGTTCTGCTCTTTGAGCGCCCGTCGCCAACCGGTGGACGCCACGAATGCCGATATTATGCATGCCAACGGACCAGCTCCTGGATATCCGGACCACGTGCTCCCGGTCACCGCCAATAATCCTCCGGCGCCCAACAGAAACGATCTCTTGGCCGTCACTAATCGTCTTATCTTTTTTTTTTTTTTTTAATGTACATATTATTTAGTAATTATATTCATATTTTTCGAAAAGTTAAAACCAAACATTTGGTAAAATCAATCTAAATATTCTAATATTTTGGTTAAATAATAAGCGCCTAATAATAATATGTAGGTATCCATTATTAATATTAAGTATATAAATAATAAATACACTATTTATTTACTTGTGATTTTTTGGTATTTTGATCTTCAATTTCTTGTGTGTTGTATATCACGGCCCACGGCGAAGGCGGCACGTAGATCAAAAAGAAACCCCATAGCAGTCCCAATAGGGTGCCTATCGATACGTCGATGGGTCCTTGAATTATTTTGCTCGTCAAACTGCCTGGTTTTGTCATAATATTATAATAAACTTTTTTAATTAAAAACAAAAATCGATTTACGGTTCGCGTTAAACTATACCGTGACATGTTTTTCTGGAAATTTAATATTTATATCTCGCTCGAGGATATAATGAATGAAATTATTTGATTTATGTATAATGTATACAAAGTATAATATTATATTTTGAAAATAATATTGTTAATGTAGAGAACATTTTAATTATTTTTTGTAGTAAATAATATAACAGAGTATAATAAGTGTATTTCATAAGAAAATTATCAGAAGAATATATTACAATATGATTTCTGTACTGACACCCACTCAGGAGAATAGACACAATGACAAAATGATAATCTATATGAACGCTCTCAAAGGCCAAGAAGGAAGATTTCAAAAAGAAGGTTGATGTTGGCATCAGGGTATATGTCGTGAAAACAAGGGTAGTAAGAACAACCAAATGAGAGATCTTACGATATTCGACTACTAGAAAGACAGCAACTATACTGGAAAGAATGCAGTATAAAATATGACGTGGAATAAGTGGATGATTATCTTATGCAAGTACTAATTTCTGTTTCTATATTTTTCAGTCTAAACACAATAAACTGTATACGTGTATGTATGTAAATTCCAACGCACGTTATACTGAAAATTAAAATATTACTACGAGGTAATTTTTAAACTCCATCATAAATAGGTAATAGAAATATAGAAATTTAGCTTCAAAACTAACTATACAAAGTTGAATTGGGCTCTTATTCCCTGGAACTAAAGAACGTATACATACCACTCGAGAATAGAATGCCCAGTAAAATACCGAAAGCGCTGATGGATACGATGTCGTCCAAACTCGAAGCGGCGATCAAAAGTGTATTGACGCCGTTTACTTCACCGTAGCCCAGACGTTTGAGTCGGGACAGACTCGGCACGAGTACAGCCGGACTGACTGCGGACAGCGTAAACCTTGAAAAACACCCGAAAAGCTGTTTAATAATAGATAACTCGAAAATTATTCAATCTCAGAGTTTTCAAAAGTCTTCTTTAAAAAAAAAAAAAAGTGCACTATAACAAAAAACACCGCAGTGAACTTCACTGATTCGTACTCACCCGAGCGTCAAGCCCCAAATCCATGAGAAATTTGGCAGAATAAAGTGTGCTGCTATGCCCGCGGCCACTGCTTCCGCGATGCATGGCAACAGTGTGAGCTTGGCCACTGCGGCACTGAGCTTACGCAATTGGCCGGCGTTCAGTTCCAAGCCACCCTTGACCAGAATCGTCGTGAGTGCCGCTTCTCTGCGTAACATGTGTAGTCCATCGTAAGTATGGGTATTATATTGGTAATGTAAACATTGGGAGTACTCTTAAATACGTTAAATTAAGTATGTTCGTATCTTTTCAAAAACTACAATAACAAAGAAAATTTTGAAATCAACTGTAGTCAATAGTGCTGGGAAAGTTCTTTTTAAAAATTAATTTGTTCTCGTTTCTCGTTCCTTAAAAAAGGAACTCGCTTCTTTGTTCGTTTTTTTTATGAATACACGTATTACATATTTATAAAAAAAAGATACTGGGGGCGGCTGCAACTACTATTGTGGTTGAGAAGTTAGGAAGGTAGGAAAACTAAAATTAGAAACTATTCTTACTTCTTAGAATCTACATGTTTAAAATCTTATTAAATAAAATAAAATAAATTTCCTGGTTTCTACCCTAAAAGATAAAAAATAAAAATATATATTATTTGAAAGATTGATGAAAATGAGCTTCGTTCCTATGAGGGAAACGCGTTTCTTCCTAACACTGGTCAATGATTTTGCTTTTATTGCGGTATGTCACATTCCGGGACAATATTATGCTCACCTCATCGTGGACACCAGATGGGTACACCATCCGGTGATGTTGTACAGACCGGAGTTACGCAAGGCGATGCCGGCCAACATCATGCCCAACAGTGGCGGGAGGCCACCAACCTTTGTGATGAGCTGACCGGCCACCAAGCCGGTAACGTACAACACGAATATGGACGCCAGACTTCCGGTGGGCGGGGTCATCAGCTCCTTCGTCGTGTTCACGTACAAAAGACACCACGCGATAGCCACGGATACAAGCGCGACCGCAACGTTGGCCGCGGTGGCCGGCAGCTTGCCGTCGCACCATCGAACCGCGCGCACGCCGTCGCGTCCGCCGCCGATATCGTCGAACTGTACGGTCGTGTTGAACTGCTGTCGCTGCTGCTGTTCCGCCGCCGTCGCCGTGTCCTCTTTGCGCCCCATTCCGTTCTCCTGCGGGGGGGGTGAACATTCAGTCCGTTTTTACATCGTTGTTAGGGTTAATATTTTTCGGGAGGGGGGGGGGGTATTAGGAAACGGCTATTCTATTAGTATTTTCCGTTTATTTTCAGACCATAATTTGTATACATGTATAAATTTAAACTTTGAAATGAATAATAATTTTATTAGAAAAAAAAAAATTTAGTCTCCACGACATTTAAATTTTAAATATTGTTCGGCATTCTGAGGGTTTTATGTGTTTTTAGTATTTTCAGATGGAGAATGACTTTCTTCCGAAATCGACATAATAAATTAATTTTCATATTAATAACCGTATGTCAGCAGTGAATCTGAAAATCTGTGCACGTGTCAACTTTCGAAATCGCAGATTTATCCGTTTTACATATAAAAATTTCGGTCGAATCATACCGGTGTTATTAATTATTATCAGCCCCACCGCGTTTTATACCATGTGAGTTATATTAGGCGTATTTTAAATGCCAATATTTGCATACCGAGTCCTCGATAGACGTGACAAAATCCAACAGTTTCGTAACTATTAACAATTCGTTGCGCATTTCTCGCGATAGCCGGCGTACATAGTGATTTATTTATCGCACCTCGGTGAATCTGGTACGAAAATTTGGAGTGAATACTTAATATATGGTTTTTTTTTTCAGACATATTGATACTATACAAGTGAAACGGAATGATTTAAGGTGGGGTTAAGAGTGTGTATGATAGTGATTGGGACGGAGGTTACGTGCTTCTCATTATCAGCACGACTTACTGCTTAGTTCGCAATGAATCGTTGGATGGATGAACAAAACAGCTTCGGAAATAAAACTTGTTATCAAAATTACGATATTTCTAATTTTGGACTTTGATATAAAAATATAAAAATCATTATTTTCGTAAATTATGCCGTTCTTTCTACGTTTTTGTTTTCGGTTATGTTAATATATTAAAAATGACTTTCTAACTCACTAAATAGATTAAAAATACAAAAAAAAAGTTACTTGAGATTTTTTGATTAAAACAATGTTTCTGGTAGAACATATAGTTCATAAAAATTAAAAATAGTGAAATTGGTAAAGTCGTGACGTGCAGTAAATATTTGATGTTTTTCAATAATTTTTTTTTTTTTTGGTTTTCCCAATTCTTATGAAAATCCCTTGGAAAATTAAAAAATGTCTTTCTAGGTCATCCACTAGATTAACAATTTAACAAAAAAATGTCTTCTTATTTGTCTATTGGAGCAATATTTCTGGTAGAAAACATAAGCCGAACAAATGTAAAGTCATGAAATCGTTGCACTACAATTTGAAAAACATCGTAATTTTCGTCTTTTTTGATTTTTCTTAATTGTTATCATTAAATACATTGACTATCAAAAGCCGACTTTCTTTGTCAGTAGCTTTTATATTAAAAGGAACAAAATCGATATATTTTCATTTTTCGTTTGGAGCAATATTTCTGGTGGAAAAAGTTGTAAAGTTAGAAACAATAAAATCAGTAACGCTGCATCCTGCTGTAAATATTTTCCGTTTTACCTATAATTTTACCTAATTAATGGAATTCTCTTTCCAGTTTTTTCCAATTATTTTGTAAACCCCTTTAAAATCAAAAAATAACTTAATGACTAAATGTATCAAGTAGCAAAAATTACCTTTCAGAAAAGGTGCTACACTTCATACTTCGGAACAAATTAAATAAATTTGCTCACAGACACAAAATATAAAAATAAAAAAACACATCATAGTAAAACCAAACGATCCTTCTCTACACTTTGAATCTAAAATTATGGAATTTCAAAACGGGCTGAATCCGTTTGGACCAATTTTTCTGAATCACAATCTGTTTGGACCAATTTTGAAGACCCATTAGTAGTAAAAATATTACAATTTTATAGCCCGTTTTGACCAGAGTTTTCCTTAAATTAGTTTAACTGAACGTTATTATTTAAAAAGACTTTGTATAGTAGTATTTTATTTGTGTTGTATTATTGAATATAAAACCTTGTTACATATATATCTATTATGTTAATATCACTGGATTTATGGTATGTTTTAAAATTGGTACACAGAAATTGTATGTAAAACTGAATAATTTACCTTTTACTTAATTTGAAAATTCGTTTTCGCAGCTTAACTGAACATTTATTTAGCGAGCTTTTATAGAAATTTAAAAATATTGGTCTAAACGAGTTACAGTTTTATTAGTGACCCAAACGTTCTTGATCCAAACGTACTCTGCCCTTTTAAAACAAGTATAACTAAACTCAGAATCGTATTTGATTAGCAATGGTTTGACACATCTGTACCTTTTATTTTTATTTCACTTGACGTTTCTTATAATACGATTTGACTCATAAAATAAGTTTTTACAGCAAGTATTTTTTTTTTTTTTTTTTTTTTTTTACGAAAAACTCCTTATAAATCGTCTGTTTCTTTTGAACATGCTCGCAGTCTTGAAATTCCTTTTGAAATTTGACTGTTATAATACTATTATTGTACATTAGAGCATACAACAATAATGCATTCATTACTACAATACAATAATATGATGTCATAAGAACTATTTTTATTGTTCAAATGTTATTTAACTTGGAGAACGCCAGATTCGAGGACCGCAACCGCGATTATTTAATATTGTGACACGTGGTTTTGGTTCTTGTTTGTTTGTTTGTTTGCTTTTTTTCTTTTTTTTATCAACAGAATATACAAGTTCTTAGTGTACATAAGATTATTTTTAACATTATTATTATACTTGTTTGAATTTGTTGTGTTTTCGAACACGGTAGCGTTTTATAGGAAAAAAGTGATATTATATGAAACACTTGAGCTGTAATAAAACGAGTTTACAAAAAAAAAAGTTGACTGAATAAACTTTTTAAAGTTTTTATCCCGTGGGAAACTTTTTGGAAAATAACAGGTATGAATATTTAAATAAAGCGTATTTTTTTAATATTCAGATTGGGCTTAATTTAAGTTTTAAACAGGTAATTTTATTTGGAAGAAAACAAACAATAAACAATATCGGGCTTATAGTTTGATGGTTTTTAAAATTTCGCTTTAGAAATCTTTTACGGATCTTTGGAGTTAATATACTTATAGAATCACTGATTCAATCTACCATACCCTATCAAAAGTCATTGATGAAAAACAGTATATTTTTTTTAGTTTTTAAGCATATTATAATATCGACTTAATTTTAATAAATCGTATATTATGGGGTATTATTTAACTTCGAATAATTTCAGTCTATATTTAATAATATGTCATACATTTTTATATACGACTTTAAGACAGCGGTATGTATGGTGGAATATATTGGGGTTATACCTTCTCCCCACATTGGCTTAAAATTATGAATGTTTAGTCAGTAGTTTTATGAAATTATATATTTTAGCCAAATACGAACAAGATTGTTTTATTGAATACAAATTGGCTTTTATGGATAAAGCTTTTAAATTTTCATATTCAGATTAGGTATAACCATAGAAGATAGTATGATTTTAGATTCTGAATGGAGTGAGGAATGTATTGGTTTTTTTTTTCTGTGAATAACTTTTCTACTAGCAATTTTGCTCCGATTTACAATGATAACACTTTTTATGAAAGAAAATATGACTGGGAAGATACTTTAAACAGGTCATTTTTCGATTTTCCGAAGAGTTTTCTCAACAAATGTGAAAAACCGAGAAAAAACATAGGAAATTCGTATGAAATTGTTTTATGACTCCCACTGTACGGCCCCTTAAATACTGGGTGTGTCGCGTCCTTTTAAGATTCGCATTAAAATATTTTAAACATTATATTATTATGCCTATGGGTCTGTTAATAAAACGATGAGTGCGAGTTTCCACAAAATACTAATACTATAATGTACGCACGCGTATTATACTTTGTATAAAATATTCAGCAGTCTTTTCGGAGGTTATGTATATCTCGTATTAAAGTGTAAAGCGTATTATTATTATTATTATTATTATTTTTATACAATATGCAACGGACTAAAACACAATTGTTTTTTGATTCGATTTAAAACACTTTCCCGTAGGTTTAGTATACGTATAAAAGCAATGTGAGAAAAAAGACACAAAAAAAAAATTGAACTGTTTCTTTTATGGGCTGACAGTGGCGGCGGCGACGGAGAGAAAAAGAAAAAAAACCCTATTAAACGAGAAAAAAAATCATGGGCCGTCATAGCGTCGTAGTGTATACGAAAATAAGGACTGGGAAATAAAAATACAAACGGTTCGGCCGGTTATAAGTATACAAAACACTAGAGAAGCTTTTCGCCTCAATTGTGTATACACTGGGTCGAGTCCTCGGCACTAATTTACATAAGTTTAGTGTTGTGTACACGACTCGAATTCTCTCGGCCCGGCATTTCCTCCCGTCGTCTCACCACCGTCTCTTTAGTATTTTTTCCCTCATTGCCTTTTATTTAGTCCGACTGCACACTGCAAACCCATCGCCACGCCACCGCCACCGCCGCCGCCGTGCAAAAGATATCCCGCTCGCGAACAAGACGTCATCACCTTCTTACGATCGTCCAGGGAGGAATTTTTTTGTTTTTTTTTTTTTGTTAGTTTCCCCTTCCCTGAATTTTGCATATCTAATGACGTTATACTTATCAACGGGGGCACGGGGGAGGGGGAGACATGCTTAGACATGAGTGGTCCCCTTATTGCAAGATCCATTCGGGCCGACGCCGCCGCTGGTAAACAAACGACCCGAAAAAAACCCAAACGGAGTAAGTGCTTAGTGCATATATTTTGTAGGTATATACCGGGTGAATATAAACGAATGTATCGAAACGGAGGAAACGCCAACGGAATCACGATTGAATCGATCGGACGGTACCATATTATTTTATGCCACGGCTAGTCTCCCGCATTCTCGTCCGATCGTTTATTTATTATTATGTTTTGTGTGCGCGCTAGGTTTTATTATTTCTGGTTTTTTTTCTTCTATCGATTCGCTAGACGAGCAAGAAACAATCACGAGTTTTTTTTCGTTCACGTTTTTAAAGCATTCGACCATTACTATACTGTACCTTCTATATACCCACTACAATAATATACGATTCGTGCGCGCAATTTAAACAATTTAACTCGACGACACTCGTCTGGCAGTTGTACAACCTTCCTGTCTACATGCACCCATACCTAGACCTATACATCGACACAAAATGTAAAACAGTTTTCGCATTCTGCACCGGGCTTTTGTTTCCCCCGATTGTCGGTAAATTCGTACGGTTACGTTATTATTATTAGTAGTATTACTGCGCGCGGTGTAATATTACGCGCGCGTCGAGTGTTGCACCGGTACACCCGCAGGCCAGCGTGGCGGCGGCGGCGGCAAAAAACGTCGAGTGTATAAAACGCTATTTGCGAATCGCTTCGCGACAAGCCACTCCGGAACATTACACCGGCCGTAATATTGTACTTTACTCCGACACTGTACCGTTTCCAATACCCTATTTATAATATTATTCCACATTGTTGTACATAATATTTTCGAAAATTAAACTGCGCCACTCGGATGACGATTCAATAATGCGTTTTGCCGCGGAACAATGAAAACATTATATACATAATATCTTCGAGTTCGATTCGCGAAGTTCCGGTCGTTATAAAATAATATAATATATTTGTGTATAAAACATTTTTTGCGCCGCTCGTGATTTTCAATACCGTAATAATAACGTACCTATGGAAACCTCGCGGAGTACCCGTATCCTATACTTCCCGACGAAAGTATTACGAAAATTATTTTGACGCGTACCTAGAGTAATATAACTCTCAAAAAACGATTAATCGCGTGTATCGACGCACGTTCGACCTCTAATTTATCACGTTTATACAGTAAAATATTATAAACGAAGAGAACGAAACGGTATTACTGAATCGGTATAGCTTCTTTATTTTGTCCCGAGCCATAACTGCACTTTGACTTTGGCGAATGAAACTTCGGTCCCCTGCCCAAAGAAAAAAAAACAAATAAGAAAGATCACATGAGAAAATTAATTTATTTAGAAAATGAATGTTTTTTATACCTATGGTTATGAATTGAATATTCAAATTGAAATCTATACATTTTATTTTAGGTATTTTACCTATAAAATCGTTAAAACTCGTTATAAATACCTCATCGTTTGTTTTACACAAACATTGCCAGTACAATTAAGCTTTTTTTCCTCAAAACGATACTCGTTACACTAAAAATTAAATTTAATAATATTAAAAATAAAAATCAGGGAATATTATTCAATTTTAAGGAAAAAAATATTATAATATTATCATAAGTAGAATATCTGATGAAAAAAAAAATAAAATCTTGAACTCCCTAAAATAATTATTAATCTTTTCATGTATACCTAAATGTTTATTATTATATTTTGTTTTAAATATTTCTTACAATAATTAATAATTGAGTATACGTAATTATACGTAATCAAATTGTAATAATATTGTGAGTAGAGATTTCTATTTTAAGAGATATTTTCCAGTATTGTAAATTAGGATCGTGATGGGCATAGACGTGCGCAAATTTACTTATTTTGGGTTTTATTAAATTAAACGCTAACTAATGAGATACACACAATTTTCATTAAGTTAACCAATAAATAAAACTAACCGTAAACAATTAACTTATTACTGTCTTGAGTTCGGTTTATTGTAATAGTGATAATATTAATTAGGTACTCGTATTTTAAATATTTAGGGGTGAACTAATTTTTTTTCGTGAAACATAGGTATAAAGTTAACAGTGCGATTTTTAATTGATTGATATTTTGCATTCACCATCTTCTTATTTTAGAATGGGGGAGAAACCTACTTAAGGAATAACTATCCATTTTCTTTATGACACACTCTACGAAAAAATTTTGCACAAGCCTATAATAATGAATAGATACCTACGAGTCGGTAAATTCAAATTGTCTACCTATTTAGGTATTATGTTAATAGTTAGGTATACATTTTGATAATCGATAATGACGTAAAACGGAATTGGTCAATGTCCAAAATAATATATAGGTAGGTATATATATTAGGTATCTAATATACGTGGAAGAAATATTATTGAACAATTTGAAAGGTGGTTACGATATGGTTAAACTCTTCACAACCTTCGCAAAAAAAAAAAAAACAACCTATTAATCATAATATTATAATATATGACGGCCCATAAAGATCAGGTTCCAGTAACTTGTTTTAGGATTACACTCGAATGCGATTTAAAGATATTATATAAAAATACGTATTGCGAGTGTATATATTTTAATATCTTCAAACATCGTGTATGAATATATTATGTATTTTTTTAATTATAAATACGTTTGGCTGAATTTGTTATATGTATATGGCAATTACATAAAAATATTGGATACATTTATTATGTGTGTTATAGGTATACGAATAAGATAATTGCCGAACGTTTAAAGTCGACGATATAATAAAAGGACCTAATGTACGGGGGCGTGTTAGGAAATATTATGCACAATCCAACCAGAAGTATTGGTAAATTATACTTAAAAAAAAACTACACAGGCTTAGCATTCATCGAGATATTTAAGTCTGATAAGTAACTACCTCATTATACGGTCAGCTAATATTCATTGCATTTCGGGAACATATTTTCGTTTTTTATCTATGATACTATGTAATTATATTCCACAGTAATTATGTTAATGTGTGACACGGTATTCTTGTTACTAGGTGAACAGTTTTAGTAGCCCTGGCAAAAACGGCCGATAGTCTCGTGTCGTACGCAATTTAATTTTGGTGTCCCCATCATTATAGCAGGGTTGTATAAAGATGAGTTCAAAAATATCTAGAAAAAAAGTAAAAGATAATTGCTATACAATAACAGTTGTATTAGCAACAATTTATTCTGACTCAAAAAAACAAAGATCTCAATGTCGAACCGAACCGAACCGAAGTTTAAAAATATTTTATCGAACTCGAATTCGAACATTAGAAAGAAAAATGATGGTAGCAGTTATAGTATATTTGTATGAAATTTGAAAAATAAAATATAATAATATATAAGACCCACTAATACGCGAAGTATATGATTTGTCTTTTTCGTAACAAGGCCGCTGTCTCCCACCATAGACCATGGTATTGGTAAGAGCGCTGAATTAGCATTGAATGATTTTCAACCAGAACTTTATACATAATTATTGCAATTTTAAGTTCTTAACATCTCTTGTAATATATTTCATTACCTGTTAAAAAATGTACCGGATATGATGGTCACAACTAGATGTCAAATAGGCCGCACGATTGATGTAATTTCAAAACGAATTATAACATATTAATTAAGAAGGTGGTACATATATTATATTAATATAAATTAATTATGTTACCTATTAATATACTAATAATTATACTGATCACGATTCATCTACCTAATTAATAGTTTAATTATTCATAACGGACGTGTTGTTAAATAATTTATTTCACATTTATCTATGTTACATAAATATAAAATGTATATATGTATCTATATGAATAACTACACCGAAGCCCATTAATCGTTGAAAATAATGTGAAATGTGTTGAAATAAATTGGGTTTTTATTATAACTATTTTAATTTAATAGAGTAATAGTATTATTAGTATTTTATTTTAGTTTTTTAAAACCGTTGATTAAAAAAATAAAACACCGTAAAACAAATACTTGGAATGGACTTAATAATATTTATAGAGATAGTTAAGTTAATGTAAAATATTTTATTAAATTATATAAAAAATGATACGATTTTTCAATGTAAATGATAACTTTAACATGTAACTTGATACTAAAATATTGTCAAGGTTTATTTTCATATCAAAGGAAGAAAATGTTAAATATTTAAACAATTTATATTCTTACCGGTCGATTTCAGTACATTATTTCGTAATATTTATTCGAGCCGAATGATACCAACCGAAAATAAACGAGATTTTTTATTAATAGCAAACCATTATATTAATATATAATTGTTTTAGCACGTTAAATCACTAATATTATTGTAAATATGAAAAAATAATATGTATAAATATAATATTAAAATATATATTTAATGATACAGTACGCGTATTGTAAAATATGCAAATATGCAACAAAGTCGCAATTTATGTTGCTGTTAGAAGGAACTAATATCAAATAAACATATTTCACTGTATATGGTAAATGTTATAATTTATTTATTATTAACTGTCTCTACAACTAACTGATGATCACGGAATTGGCCCCCACCATCACACGATCATAATATTATTACGACACCTATAATACATCTATAAAATAATAAAATATATATTATTGTAGGTACCTAATAAAATAAAGTTAAGTATTATTTTTTATATCCAGTGTTATGGTAAAAACTAGATATTCGTTTTACAAAATATAAAATTATTGTTCCGTAAGTATTACAGACTCTTTTTAGGTAGGTTTTTTAAATACAAATTCAACAAAGCTCATATTTTATCGTTAACAATTTGTTTTTAATTTCTGATTAGTTGTATATTAAATATATTTTATATGATTTTTAACGGAAAAAATAAAAATCGATACGCTACAGACGCTATAGAAAACAACTACTTATGTAAAGTTCGAAGAAACGGATTTTTAGAGAGAATGAAACTACTGGAAAAATGTTCGTGTTATTATATTATATATATATATAAACCATTAACTTAATGAAAAAAATATAAATGATTTTAAAACGAATTCGTGGTTATTGTTGTATATTATTATTGTGGTTTTTTTTTTTTTTACTCTTACCGAGACACAAAAATATCCTCAAACACAGTCGCGAATAATTCTTTCTAAATATCGACTGTGTGCAAATGAATTAAATAAAAATAATTGATTTTGTAAAATTCGAGACATCATTGCAGTTATTCAAATGGAACACTATCGTTACCATCTTCAGCCATAGCAGTGGTAATAATATTGTATTCAGTATGCCACACTTCAATGACTTCAATATCGCGGTTTTATTTATTTCACATAATATACGTACCGATATTGTTTTTAAATAAAATCACTCAAAAAGACACACTGCCCACTTTTTACAAATTTATGCCAGTTTAATCCGATCTTCTAATCCAACTAATTTATATCCTCAAAACGTACAGAAGAAATGATTCGACATTGGTCCGGACGACGTCTATACCCGAGAGCGCACGAAGACTGGATTCGGCTGTTCCTGAAATACTCGATACTCAGCCGTTTTAGCCGGTTTTTTTTTTTTTATCGTCATAACTCCTACCGCTGCAGTGAACGTTTGTTTACCACGGTTTCGAATGATCATCATCATCATCATAAATAATCCAACATCCCCACTTGGGGCCGCCCACCAACAGCTAACATTAAAATCCACATTGGTCAGATGTCTGTGTAATAACCGGCTGAAAATCCAGTGGTATTATTATTAATATTATTACCTTATACTAGTTTATTATTGTTTCGTATACAGGATGTCCCACGAAGATATAACCATTGTATTATCTCCGGAGATAATAAAGATAATCAAATTCTGTTTTTTTTTTTTTTTTATATTATTCACAGGGATAAGGACTACAAATATTTATACTGCAAACAATTCGTTACGCTCTGATAAAATAAATTTAAAAAATTAACTTTTTATTTTATTATTTTTAAAAAAATTTGAAGATATAGCCATTTTATAGAGATTATTTTCCTGAAAATTTTGATACATCAACTTGTTATTTTCATTAAATTCGTAATTTTTAATAACTTGTTGAAGTTCAGAGAAAAGTACCTATAACTATGCAACAGACTGTAATTACATTCCCTAAGAATTGACAATTATTATTAGGATTAATTTACTGTACACTTTTTTCTTTGTAATTTTTTTAACTACAATATAAATATTTGTAATCCTTATTCCAATGAATAATATAAAAAAATCATAATCTGATTATCTTTATTAACTCCTGAGATATTACAATGGGTAAATCTTCGTGGGACACCCTGTATGAGTCTATAGGTACTATGTTGTTTTTTTTTTTAATACAAAATAAATTATATATAATTTTGTCGGAGTGTACGAAATTCGAATAAAACCGAAACGAACCTTGGTTATATTACGTCGTGATGAACAACTACTTGAGGGTATTAGATACAATCATAATATTATAACCTATATTTATCGATGAGTAGTATCATGAGATTTCAAAAATAGACGAATAGGCTTTTTGTGGTTTTAAAAAAAATAAAACTAATAATAATATAAAAATAGATATAAAGCCGACATATTTCGCACAATGTTTATTTGTACCCACTGTTGTAGGTTATTTTAGGATTTTAAAATTTAATTTTTACCTGTATCTATACGCAACGATACATAATTTAAAATGAAAAATGATTCTTAACGGAGTTTTGTTAAACGTGTTTTGATAAATTTAAATGTATTGATGTGTAATTAAGAAAATAATAATTACCATTGTTCATGTTTTTCATGACTTTTAATATACATTGTTGCTACTAGAAAATATTACTGAAATCTTCTAGAGCAAAATTTCCAGTTAAAAAGCTGTTTGTAGAAATACTGTGAATATAGATACTAAGAAACCCAAGAAAACGTATAATTTACTATGGCATTGAAAGAAACGACATTCTTAATTAATTAATGTTCATTTTAAAAAAGACGTCCTAGGATAATGAGTTCGAGTGCTGTCACTGTTGAAGGTAATTTGATGTACAGTGGGTCAAAAAAGTCTCCGTACACTAATGTTAGATTTTTTCCATTACACATAATGTTAATTAAAAAGTTAAATAACTATATATTTTTTACGACAATTTATTAGGAAACACACGAAAATTATGTTTTTAGAAAAATAAAGCATATATATTAATTATTTTATTATTTACGTGCATATTTATAAATAAATGTAGAAAAATAACAACAAAAAAGTTTCCGTACATAATATGAATATTAGATAAAAATAGTGTTGAAATGGGAAAAACTCGTGATATTGAGAGTTCCATCATAAATTAAGACAATAATATGGTCTGGCAATATAATCTAACGATAAAACCCGGTAAGCATAATGAGCGTGACAGTAGGTACCTAGGCCAGTCGTACTCATCAGTCGTACTGTACGTTTTATTAATTTATTTACATTAAACAATGGAAATACCGATTGCTGTTCGTAAAGTAGTAGTTTAACTAAGAGAAGATGGAAATTCTCTCAGAAATATTACTCAAACAATAAAAAAATCGCACTCCAATGTACAATATATTATAAACCGATACAACGAAACTGGTTCTTTTGAAGATCAAAAACGTACTGGTCGTCTCCAAAAATTAAAATCAAATCAAAAAACGGCCATTCTAATAACAGTTGTGATGGAACCAAAAACCAGTGTACCCAAACTAGCAGGTATGATTGACACTGACTATAATATAAAAGTTGTGCCACAGACCATTCGTAATGTTATAAGAAATGTAGGATATAAAGGTTGTGTAGCTAGGAAAAAACTTTTTATCAGTAAAATAAATAAAAAGAAACGTTTAGATTTTGCGAAGGCACACATTAATAAGGGAAATGATTTTTGGAAATCTATATTATTCAGTAAAGGAAAGCAAGTTTAACATTTTTGGTTCAGATGGGCGAGTTATGGTGTGAAGAAAACCCAATAAGCAGATGGATTGCAAAAATTGATGCCTAACTGTAGTAATACAAAAAATAGGAAAGAGGAATATAAAAGGGGAAAGGGAGGGGGTGAAATAAGAGGAGAGTTAAAAGAGGATTAATCGGGGGATGATATAAAGGGAGAGGCGTGGTTAATGGGAGATAGGAGTAGATTTAGGACACTAAGTATAGAAATAAAAGACAAGTATATTTAAAATTATAAGATAATCACGTAGAAATACCTATAAAGAATGAAATATAGAGGATTAGGTATAAAAATGTGCCTATATAGAGTGAAACCATCGATCTAAGTTTTGGTACTACAAAGAATGATATATCTCTAATTATTATAAGAGTTCAGCCTACTAGTTATATTACTACCTTCCTTCCTATGTTTGAAAGGGTTTCGGAGTCGTGAATCCGAGAATGGTGACGAAATGAATAACTAGAGAAAAATATAATTATATTACTTGCCCACAGTGTTGGAACGCTAAGGTCTATACTTATGGATAACCTCACGTGAACCTGGAGTCGTTGGACGGCAGTCACAATTTAATTAAGATAAATTAATTTAATTAATTAACACTTAACACCAAGTGAGTTAATAAATAAATCGAATACGAATGATTATAGCTGCTAAAAGTCGGAGCTAGCTATTCGAGAGAGATCCTCGAAAGAAGTTGGTGGTTCGTAGTTGTTGCTGTGTGTGGGATTCTCGACAGAATGTTCGTTTTGGGGTTTCTAGAGGGATCAAGACGCTTCATTTTCAATAGAAAAAACCGTTAAATTGTATGTGTTTATATAAGCCAATAAAAAAAGGTCAACCATAAAAAAAGTGTTATGCGTAGATTTGAAATTTGTATTGAAATAATTGTAACGGTATATAGTGTGAAAGAATGATGACGGCACGGCGGTATCATCAAAGGGCCGATTGATGTTGAGTATTTATTGCTTAATTTTATATCACTTATATTTGAATGTTCTAAATGATGGTAAATGATTGGATGTTGATTTTTCTCGAATGATAGAAAATCACTGGAATTTGTGTGCTTAAAAAGATGGAACAGACGGAAATCGCGTCAATGTCGATATAAAATAAGTAATACTCGAATTGTGAAAAGAAGACAATATACAATAGTATGACTGAGGCGGCAGTGTCCTCAAAGGGCCGTAGCAGATGGCATGCAGTTCTGTTATATTTGATACATATATAAATTATTTTGCTTGTAGATAAGCTTGCATCCCTCTCGAATAGCGAACGATCCGTTAGATTTATTAAATTATTTACCTTTTGTGAAATACCAAGTACTCGGCCATATTTGAATCTTTTAGTTACATTTTTGTAATGATATAAATAATAAATAATTATACAGTTATAATATTATGTCATGTGAGCATAACATTACACAACAGTAAAACATGGAGGTGATAATGTATTAGTTTGGGGCTGCATGAGCGCTACTGGTGTTGGTAATTTGGTATTTATCGATGGAATTATGGATTAAAATATATATTTAAACAAGAAATAATTTGCATGCTAGTGCAACCTAAACATTGGTAATTCGTTTATTTTTTAACAAAATAACGACCCAAAACATACCGCAAAAAAAGTTAAAGAATGGTTGTTGTACCGAGTGACAAAGCAACTTAACACACCTCTACAATCACCAGACATGAATCCGATAGAAAATGTATGAGATGAAATAGGTAGACGTCTAAAACATTATCAAATTCGAAACAAAGATCAATTGAAAAATGCAATACTTGAAATATGGAACAGTATTGACCCTACTGTTACAATCAAATTAGTTGAATCAATGGAAAAGCGAATGCACGAAGTAATTAAAGCTAAAGGAAGACCAATTGACCATTAATTATAATAAAGTGATAATAATTATTGTATTGTATTAAGTTAAAAATATTTATGTTATGTTGTACGGAAACTTTTTTGTTGTTATTTTTCTACATTTATTTATAAATATACACGTAAATAATAAAATAATTAATATATATGCTTTATTTTTCTAAAANAAAAATATAAAGTTATTCAACTTTTTAATTATCATTGTGTGTAATGGAAGAAATCTAACATCAATGTACGGAGACTTTTTTGACCCACTGTATATCTGTAAACAACAATAAACCATTGCTAACGAAAAAACGATTCTGAGCGCAGTTCAGTTAATAGTGATACTTTGTCAACAATATATATGTCATATTATGGTAACAAAATTAAATAGAAATTAAATAAATTAAAAATATTTTCTTTAATAATACTTGTTTAATATTGTACCGATTTTCCCGTGTTTTTCCAATGTTTTTTTCCCGGTTTTTCAAACTTCCTGGGAAAAGTCCTAAGAAAATCTAAAAAAGACCTTCCCAAGTTGCCATGGAAATAAAATTTCCTTTCAGAAAATAAGTTAGACCTAATACATTGGAGCAAGATTTTTGGTAGAAAAGCTTATACAACAAATCGAGGGGTATTTTGCGATTAAAATATTCCGAGAAGGCGATGGCTTGGATCTCTAGGTACATCCAAAATGCATTTGTTTTTTCCTTGTTTAAGTAAAATGGAAAAAAAATGCAAACAATTTTTTTTCAATACATTGGTTTAAACTAAGCACCCCTAGGATTATAATAGACATAAATAACCATTACACATCACGGCAAATATGCTTAAAGAGGTACAATATAGAGTTAGTTAACATAATATAAAATTGATAAATTAGATTCGTTCTACATAATGTTTTACTCAAACGATTTTCGTCAATGTTTGATACTAAAATTCTCTTATTAAAAAAAAATACTATATTAATTTCAATTTTCTTTTTTTTTGACTACAAAGTAAGATTCTTAATAAACCTCCTGCTAAATTTTCAAGCATTTCTGTTCATGTCTAATAATTTTACTAAAGAGACACTACCGAATAAAAATTACATACAAAACTCGGTAAATTAAAATGTCTATAAATAGCTCAAAAATGGCAAAAATATTTCGACAATTTTACCATGTCTAGAAAAGACGAATATATTTTTTTGTTTAAATCTCAAGTCTCCACGAACATTTTTAACTGAATTGCAACAAATAACAAATTGAAAAATAATCAAAGCATTATTTTCATAAATTTCCCGATCTTCTTACGTTTTATACTAGTTTTTCCCAGATATTATGAAAACTGCTTGGAAAATCAAGAAATGACTTCCCAAAAGTACCATCTTGACAATTTTGCAACACTCAGAATCTAAAATTAACAACTCTTTCAGAAGGCCAATTTCATGCTAATTAATAAATTATATTTCACTCAGGTGTAGTTGCAAATTTGTGTTGATTTTCGGTTAGCTAGATCTTTTTTCTTGCTTTCTACGAAAAAATAAACTATTATATTTCGATTTTGGACAACTTTTATATACAGATACTGTGTCTGCTATGCGTCTGGAAAATATTAGCTTACTAAAATATAAATAACGTCGTGGTTATAATAATAATTCAGTAACGGGCTTGAATTCAAAAACAAAAATAAAAGTTTGAATAATGAAACTTGATATAAAATACAATTCAACAAAATGACTTGGGTATATTATAATAATGTTTCTTTTGTCAGTCTTCTTAAAATTATTGCATATATCTTACACACCACATGCATATACATTGTGTAGTAAAACAGAAATTTAAATAATAAAATGTCAGTCATTTTCTTTATGTAAATAAAATAATTTAAATAAAAGGATTTCAAAAGATAAAACAGCACGTAACGTTAATATGGACAAAAAATGTTTTTACACTTTAGGAAACATAAAATAATATTATTATAAACGGGAATATACGAATACTGGATTTTGCAGATACTACCTACTCGCCATCTCTGCAGTCTTCACTAATTTGAAAGCAACGATTATACATATAAAATCTCGGTGTCTTTTCCCTTATAAATACTCTTTCAGCGAATAATACAAGTATAATAACTTGGTGCATTCTTAATTTTGTAATTCAATCGGGCATTAAAATCGAATTGCGTGAGCTTTAACTATTTATTTTCCTAATTTTATCAACTTAAATTGTTGAGATATTATCATAATTTATGTTAAAATCTCTTTGATAAAAAAATAATAATAACAATAATAATAATATAGTACCGTATAATCGTTAATAAGTCCAAATAAAGATTAAATGATATAATATGATACACGGTAATTTAATTACCTAGATGAAGATAAATGATGAACACTTTTTGATCGTATTGTAAACCTAAGTATTCAAAATGTACGCAAACATGGAGAGAAGGGAGTGTAATGGAGCGATTAACCTATATTCACAATAATTGGACAAGTAACAAGCCGATTGGAAGTCCAAAAGTAATACAAAACCAATGCTCAATATATTACAAAACAGCTAGGATTTAAAATGTCTCAATTTGTTAATAGGTCAGTGTTAATAGGTTAATTGGTATTAATAGAAGTGATTAGTGAGACGTCATATTATGTGATAACAATTATAATCAAGTAAGTTGGTTGGTTCCAAAAAAATAAAAATATTCATATAAATGTTATGTAAATTAACTTTAAAATTCTTATATTCTACATTTTAAGGATTTAATAAGTACTTACTTAGATATTTTTATTTTATTGCTAAATCCTCATTTGAGTAAGTCTTTTTTATTAATAGTGAAATCTTGTAGGTTTGTAGGTAAGTACCGACTCATATTTTAATATTATATATGTTAATGGGATTGTTTGGAATCAAATGATCCATTTATTATTGATAACAGACTGATAAGAAGAGCGTGACGTAGACGCTAATTGACCGGTTGTATCGCAAGCAGCTTTCATATATAGGTACCAATTTAAATATTAATTAATGATAATCATCTACATACCTCATCTGTGAGTCAAAATTTGTACCTGGTGCCAAATCTGAAATAAAATAAAACCAATCGCATAAATTAAAGTTTAAAATGTTTCGTTTTCATATTTGTTTATTAAAATAATAAATTTGAAGATCAATGCTTCTACAGGTATTATTTTAAACCTACATGATTGTGTGGTGTAAACATAATATTAAGCACCGAGAACGTTTGGAATGGCTGAATTTAAAAGACATAATTTGTATTATATCTTTGGACTTTTAGCCACTTGGTGTAGGTACAGTTTCACGATTTAGGATTTAATATTATATTTCTATGATGCATATCTACGACTTTATGTTATAATAAATTGTTTTCAATGCGTTTTTGACAAGGATTATAATATAAGAAATTAATCATCGATTATGTGTACGGTGCTCGTAAATTAACTCATTAGCGTGAACCAAGAAACAATTTTTTTTTCAAGAGAGAGCATTTTTATATTTTTTGTTCCCTGTCTAATAATACAAGATTGCATGAAAAAAAAAAATGTTTTCAATGGTAATTTTAGGGTGATGATTTATCAAAATTTTGTAAATTTTTACGTTTCGTGGCTAATAACTTTGCCGAAATTGATTTTCTCCTTACCGACTATTATTTGTACCTTATTACATTCTGGTGATTTACTTTCGTGCGATTTTTTGTTTAGTTACGATTAAAACCGTGAAAAAAGAATTAAATATGCACACAAATTGCGTTATATTCACATAAAATGTTAATATTCGAACATCAGTCCCAGTGGCGGCGCGAGATATTTTACTTCACAAGTCCCGTTAGATTTTATTGATTAAAATACTAACAACAGGTTAGTATTATAATAAATAACCTCACCTATAGTTTGAAAACTTATTTATTATTCATTTATATTCAATTACTAAATCCGCTATTCCTATTCCTTACCGTTGTACCAATATCCACACACCCGATGACTTGAGTCGCGAGACTAAAAAAACTGCCCTCGCGTCGCCACTGATAGGCTCTATATCCATTTATAATTTATGGCCATAATAATAACGTAGACTGGTCGACCATAATCGTTATCGCAATCTATGAACAATATTTTCAACTGAAGCTTGCGTAAGTAATCATTATATTTTGTATTATACTAATCATTGCTAATGCCTATATTATATAAGTTCAAGTTTCCGGGAAAACAAACGACGTTCTGAAAACGCAAGCCGAAAACCAACCTGACAATAACCCAATGAAATAAAAATAAATATTTACCCGTCTCGGTGGCAGTATTGAGAACACCGCTACCAGTTGTGTCGTGTAAGACGGTCGTTTTCGCCATATGAACGTACCTACTAATGTACGCGACATTAATTAATTTGCTACCTATCGAAACTGATAACAGCGAAACTATTCTAGGAAAACGAATTCACGGGCATATTTTTACAACTGGTAATACGCGACGAACCGATACGAATTATTATTGCTTATCGCGGGCCAAATATTCGACTAACGAGTAGGTAAATATCGCGAATATCATTAAGCGCCGCGTCCTCGTATTAATACGCCGTGCGCCGGCGGATGATCTTGATGAACGACGACGACATTAATCGTATTATTATTATTTTACCTTTCGATTTTCCGGGTAGGCACGGAAAAGAAAAAAAAAGCCGAATCCGACTCCGCGTCACAAAACGATAACGTTTCGCGCACGACCGAAACTGCAACGATGTGATTACGCAACAGACGACGTTTTCCCGATTTCCCGTGGAATATCGCGTCGTTCGAGCGGTTACTAGTGACCACTGACCAGTGACCATATACCAGCGAGTCGCACCAATCGTTGGGCACATGGAAAAATACCAGCCGTCCTACCCGGGGGCGCCATCAGTCCGACCAACCTCAACGATGTCGTTCGAATCACGTTGGGTACGCTCGCCGCGGCGCTACGAGAAAAATGTCGTCTTTTTCGGCCGCCATCGGACCGGCCGCGAATACCGAAAGTTTATGCCGTTTCAATCGCAAATTCGCGAAAATTATTCAAACGCTCCGCCGCCGTCGCTTGATGTGGTTTCTTGTTTGCGGGCCTCCGTTGGTCGTGATGGATTCTCGCGCGAACCGAATGCGTTCCGTTTCCGTACGATTTCGACGGTTTTCCGTTCGCGGATCGAATGCCGCCGCGACAATCCCGTCCGTCTCGTTATCACGCCAGACGTCGGTGCGCCGTCGCGAAAATAAAAAAACCGAATTCTCGACGCGAAAAACGGAACCACTACTACGTAATATACGATTTTTGTTTTGTTTTCTGTTTTTATACGAGCGCAACGTGTCGTCGTCTCCATCGTTTTCCGTCGAAAAAACGAGCACCGCTTAGGTACCGGCCATTTTGGTGCATTAGCACTGCGGCGGCAAAAATGAAACATCGTCTTGTTCGCCGTGTTTGTGGAATATGTTTTGCGTTCAGACCGAGAATAATCCTAAGGTAATCCAACGATTTCGTATTACGTTATATGTGTAATATTAAATGTTTTACTAAAATAATCGCGCATTGGCTTTCAACTATTGTAGCGTTATAATAACGTTGAATTTGTGTGCGGTTTTTACGCGCGTCCTTTTGATACGTTTGGTTTGTTACGATACTGTTGTACGATAGTATTTGATCATGTAAAGAAAGAACAATAGTCTACAACAGCGTGATCATGTTTTATGCAGGATTGTTCTTTTTTTCTGATTTTTGTCCTGTTTTTTTTTTTTATTTCGATGCCGATTATTCCGTATTAATTATTATTTTATTTAATTAGATATAAATATTTTATAGTTTTAGCATACAGATTAAAATTAGTTGACAAAAATATTCTTTGTAGATCATGATAGTGATTGCGATTGTATTCATGAAAAATAATAACACACAAGAAGCGATACCGGTGATTAATAAATTAAATTAATAAATATCACTTTGAATATATTACTGAAATTACTTATCTTGCTTTTTATTCTATTTTTTTTTAAACATGGTCAACACCTTAGTCTACAATAAGACTAGGTAGGTACCTAGGTATACACAACTAGTCCACCAACTTTGGGGTGCTAAAATCATAAACACATCATATACTTAATGTAGGGACAATGCCCCTACATTAAAGGTGGTTAAGTTAATGAAAATAATTAACTCTAATTAATTTAAGTTTAGAGAACACAAGATTGATCTGTTAAAAGTTCATATAGACAAAAATATTAACTTAACTCAGTTTAAAAAAAGTTAATCTACTTTTTTAATATGTGGATCACATAAATAGTAATTGCTCTCTTTCTAATTTCCTAAATTATAATAAACAATTTTATTGAACTTCTATCATAATGTACAATGTATATACCTACCTATTTTACTTTACATGGATTATTAATTAGTTTTTAAACTATAATAATCTCAATTAATTGCTAAACAAATGTACATTTTTTTGTATCATATAGCAATTTAAGGTCATATACTATTAAAACAATACAATAAACAAAACCATATTAAATATAAATTGAATGTAACAATCAGATTCTTGCATTAGTTATGTAGTAAGTACTTCTGTAATAAAGTTTGAAAATGAATAATAATATTAGTAACATTTATACATTATAATTCAAAGGTTGGATCTTACAGCTGATTATTACAAACAAATAAAAATATATTGCACCTATCTATAACAATATAAAAGATTAATTATTTAAAAATAAACAGACTTTCAATTGTTTACAAACACAAAAACCAATAAGAATAACTAATTAATAATGTCAACAACTATGACTAGGTACATTAACATATTATCAGACTTTGAATTAATATTTTAGAATAACAATATACAGAATAGAAAATAAATTGAATGTTCACATTTTTTATATATATATACATGGTTTTATGTTTGCCCTAATTAGTATCTGGTATTCAACTTCATCTTATAAACTATCATCTGTATTTAAATTGGATAATTTATCATTGCACAATATCATATTTGAAAGGTCATAAAAATTGTCTAATGAACTATCACTTTCTATTGTAATTTTTTTGGCAGCTATTTTTATGTCTATATTTTTTTGCATTTGAGTTGGTTTAGTGGTGTGTATTGATAATATAGTATTTTGATAGTTATTGTTTATGAACCGTCTTAGATGGCTATTACCGAGGTAATCTGTATTTTTTTATGTTTTATTTTAATTATGAAATACATGGATACAATATTAATAAGCCGATACTGTAAAAAAAAATATTGTGTATTTTTGGGGATAATAATTTTAAAATAACCTTTCATTAATTACCTAACCAATTCATTAACCAACCAGCCAGCACTGACTGTTATTACTTATCACTGTCTTCGGTCCGAGATTTGTCGTAACAATAAAATAGTAAAGGGGGGGGGATATAACACCTATTCTAGGGATAAAGGTCCGTTTTCTATATCAAACAGTGCAAACGAATTCTGTGCATACCTATGTGTATAATACCTACTACGAATCATAGTCTACGATATCTATTAAGCCGACGATTCACAATAATATTGTCATATTAATGCGAGTTTAATTAATGTTTATTTAAGGTAACGTTATTAAACATAATGCGTATGATAATTATTATAAGTACTTGAATAATTTAATATAAAATTAATTTTCGCACCAGTTGTGAATTCAACGTAAGCTAAGATCGCTGAACTCTATACACGGAACGCGCCAAACTTTACATCTTATTGGAAAGCGCCATTTTGATTCCATTCGTGTAGTAAACAATAATTTATGGAGAAATTCACCGGGTTTCATTATATTTAACGATAATTATGTGCGCGTATTATAGCGTGTATTTTAGGAATCGCATAGTTATAAAGCCATAAGGTATTCAGTAATTCAGTATACTCTGTGTACGTTCACTTACTTGCTTAAAAAGGCACTTAATAGTTAATAATAAATATCCCTAATCTCTTGTATACCTAAATTAAATTAATTTTTAATTATTTTATGGCTAATATTCTAAACGTGAAATTATTGTTTTACACATAATAACTTTTAAATAATAAAAAAAAAAATATGTTCACTTTAATATTCGTAAAAGTGGTAACACCCATAACACCAACAAATGGAAATCGTGAGATTACCTACCCAATAGAAGTTGGGGAACTAGTAAAACAAAAACGAAAGGCACGGAAAAAAATGGCACCGAACGAGAGATCCTTCGGAAAAAACGGTCTGAAATCGCACTAGCAAACTTTTACATGACAAAATTAAAAAATTAAAAAACAAAACGTTCAAATCATACTTAAGTGAGCTTTCTACAACGAATAACACTGATTATTCATTATGGAAGGCTACATAACGTACGCAGAGTCCTAGAGCCTATGTACCACCTATCCGAATTGAAGATGGATCATGAATGGCACGCTGTGAATAAGATAAAGCAGATATGTACGCACGTTATTTAGAACGTGCATTTAAACCAAACGAAGTGGTTTCCGAACTCGATATAGCTCAGTGTCAGCCACTAAATGAAACTCGCGATAAGATAAAGCATTTTACTCCAGTTGAAATCGCAAAGAAATTGATATGAATATCAACCCAAAAAAGGCATCTGGGTACGACCAGACTAACCTAAAAGTCCTGAAAGAGTTATTCTAAAAAAGCTATGATTCATCTAACACACATTCAATGCCATCCTACGTATGGAATACGTTCCTAAAAAATGGAAACGAGCCCAAGTGTTCATGGTACTTAATTCAGGAAAACCACCAGAACAAGTAACTTCATATAGACCAATTTCGCTTCTTCCTAGCATCCCAAAATCATTCGAAAAACTATTTCTAAAACGCTTAAAACCTTTGATAGAAGAAAGACAGCTTATACCGGAATATCAGTTTGGATTTCGAAATAAACACTCATTAATTGACCAGGTCCATCGTATCACTAACGTAATAAGCAAAGCGCTTGAAGAGAAAAATTATTGCTGCGGTGTATTCCTTAACATGGCTTTCAAGCTTTCGATAAAGTTTGGCACAAAGGATTACTTATAAAACTACGTAAACAGCTGCCACACACTTGGTACGCACTTTTCGAATCCTACCTGACTGAACGTCAATTCAGGGTCATTCATGAAGAAGCATTAACTGATTGGAAAAACATATCGGCAGGTATACCTCAGGGAAGCGTCCTTGGACTAATCCTGTACTTACTTCACACAGCGGACATTCCAACCAATAACTATTCAATGACAGCCATGTTTGCTGATGACACGACAATAATGATAACAAATGAAGACCAGCCGACTGCGACTGATTGGCTTCAAAGGTCCATCAACAACGTTTCCAACTGGACGAAACGTTGGAAGATTAAAATTTAACAGTGAAAAATCGGTGCTCGTAAATTACACCTTGTGTAAAACCGTCTATAAACCAGTATTACTAGATCAGCAGAGTATCCCACTGTGTGACTCAGCAAAATATCTAGGAATGCACTTGGACTCTCGGCTCAACTGGAAGTACCACGTTAGACAGAAAAAACTGCAAATTAAGAAGAAAATGTGACAACTATATTGGTTGGTTGGAAAACATTCCGAACTAGACCTCACAAGCAAACGCCTCTTGTACGTAATGATAATTAAATCAATATGGACTTATGGAATTCAACTGTGGGGTTGTGCCAGTAAGTCCAATATTGAGATTATACAACGTTGTCAGAACATCGCTCTCCGTACCATTGTCGCAGTTTATCGGTATGACAGAAACGACATTGTTCACCGAGATATGATGATCCCCTTCGTCCAGGACGAGATTACCAAGTTTGCCCGTAAACATGAGAAAAGACTGGATCAACACACGAATCCAGCAGCAATTCAACTACTAGACAACTCTCTAGACATTAGGCGTCTCAAACGTCGAAGACCATATGACTTAGTATAAGACTTTTAGACTAAGATCGGGGCCACTTCACTGGGAGTGAGATTCCATACATGTTTTTTTTTTTATATATAAATACATCACACGTATTTATGTATACCTTTGATAATGTATTGTTAAAGATTTATTTTTATTCTTACAATAAAAGCTTTCGGGCAGTTTAAAAAAAAAAAAAACTTTAATATTAAAATTTTAACACAAAAACAATTTTAAAAGTGATGTTACCTCACTATTCTAGAACTTATTGTTTATTTGAAATGTTTTTATTTATCAATACCTATCTACTATCATTCTATAGATTATTTAGAGAAAATGAATGTTATTCTATCTTATAATCATAGATTATTATTTTGGTTTATATTCCATTTTCTTTTAAGGAGCAAATTACTATTAGAATCAAGATGGCAGCCTCCTATTAGGGAAATTGTTTAAATACACAAATCAAATGCAATGCAAGTTCAGTGCGGTTCAGTGACTAAGATAGCATAGAGTGACAATTTTAGGGGATGCAACTTTCTTAAAACAACTGTTTTAGTTTGTTACTTGTAAATATCATATCGGTTATTTTGTCGAAAAACTAATTAAATTCACTTCTATGACTCAAACGTAATTCATACAGGTACCCATTAATTTTTATTTATTTTATAACAATAAGTGTACACATTAATGAAGTAATAAATATTCACTTTTAATTTGTATCTTATTTGCATACATTTTTTATTTTAATATTTTTGTGTTTGTTTTTTATGTTAATTCGGTTTGAAAATCATCTTTAATACCTGACATTTTTACCGAAAACTAGTACTAACTTTTTCCATACTTGGTACAATTTTCAAAATATTGACATTTTTGATCTATTTAAACCATTCTTTTTTTTAGTTCTAATTCGGTTTTAAGGGGATAAAATTTTTCCCGCTGAATGAAAATATTTGATAATTCGTAAGTCGTACCTTTCGTACTTAAAAAAAAGTTGAGCGTGATGTAGTAGTTTTTTTTAAAAGTGTTTTAAATTAGAATTTTTACGGAAATCACAAAAATCGCGGTATTTTTCAGCATTAATTTTTAATGGAACTTCGCTCAGAATTGTTTTACGTTTGCAAGGATTCGTCACTGAGTAGACATATAATATTATATCAAACTACTATATATACTATTATATCCTACGTTCCCGACTTCGCATCGCAAACAGTTGCACACCAGCGTCAGCGGAATCGGTTCTTTTTTTTCAATGCATATTAAATCAAATCCGAAACTTGAGCACTTGTAAATACTTGGGTACTTGAACATTTTGCTCGTCAATATTGTGTTTCAAACGGTGATATAACATAAATAAATTAATCGGTTAACGAGACTACGGTTAATTCTCATAAACAGGTAATACGAGTGTTTATTATTATGTAGATTATCCGTTATCGATCATGTTATTTTCGTTCATACTGATTTTTACATTATTTTTTAACGACCGTTATACGGCGGACATGATGCCTGGGCCGCGGGCTTCAATAAATATCTAATTTCGCTTCTGTTATTATTGTATTATAACTTTATTTTTAATTTTTTCGTATTATAACACGGCGTAGACAACTATAATGATATACCGAGCCGATGAAGAGTATCATTATAGTGGTAGTATGTAATATTTAACGAATTTAATCATTAAAATGTATTATTATTTACAACCTATATAGGTACCTATATTTCATAGTAATATACGGTTTTTTCATGGACACTTGTTGCGCCGGATTAAAAACTGCTCATGTTTAAGAATATTATGCGTTGTTCATAATATTACTATTTATACTGTATATATTATAATCGTTTGGAATAAGTGGCGTGTTCATATGGAGAGGGGTAGGTACTGGGATTAGAGTTGGAAGGCGTCGAAAAATAAAAAAAAGTTTTTCCTTCCATCCACGATAACATGGTGATATCCAATCCGCCTTTTATCTCTATATAATAGGTACAAACAGGCCCGTAGCCAGACCAAATCATCATTTGAGTAAATTTTAGGGGGGAGGGGGCATTAGAAAAAAAAACAATATTAATACTGTTTTTTATTTATTTACACTGCTGTAAATTTCTATCTGAAATCCATTAATAACAATCTAACCAAAACTCAAAATAACTAATTGTTGAACATTTTATAAAGGGCTTTCAATACGAATTTTGTTATGAAAATACAATATAAATAATATTTTAAATAAAAATAATATAAATTATATTTAAGTGTACATGATTAAATATTGAACTCAAATTTTGAAAAAATTAAATCAATATAGCTGTAATTTTCTATCTTACTAAACCAAAACATACCACTACATATTACATATTTAATACTTATTGTGGTGGCAACGATTACGAGTACAATGTCCTCCCCCCAGTAGCTACGTGTCTGGGTACAACTATATTTATGAATTAATATTAATTTCGTCCTGCAAAGAAATTCGCGCTGATAGTGTACTAAAAGTAGGTATAGATCTGGAAATTCGACTAAATAAAATCGTTGTTTAATTACAATTTATTGTCGTTTCCAGTATAACTAAATAATCACCTTATACATTGTTCGTTCCGAACTTCCCATCTAATACAACAGTTTTATTTATAAAAAAATATTTTAATATTCAGCCAATTACTTGAAAATGAAATCGGAAACAAATAAGTATACGAACAATTATTATTAATCTTATAACCTTATAGGTAACTTTTTAAGTTTTTTGTTTTGAAGTATAAAACCTAAAGGTTCATCGCGATAATAATATTAATGAATCATAGCCGGCACAAAAAAAAATATTCGTTGCTCGTTATATTATATTAATATAAGAGTAATATACTAAGTCAATAGTATTATTCCATCTTGGTTTTTTTTTTTTTGAAATACAACTGCATATAATGTGGAAGATTCATCAATATTTTCCTATGGCGAAGAGTGGAACATTTTTTTTTTATGTTTAATAGTTAATCCAGATGTATACATATGATTTTAAATATTTATGTATTAAAATCAGTATAGTAATATATGTAGTATAAGTAGTTAGCCAATTAATAAGTATTTTATTTTATTTTGTGAGTGCATAACCATACATGCTTACATATATATATTTGAAAAAAAAAACATTTTTAGGTAATTGTATGGATAAACTAATATAGGTAATACCATTATTATCTTGTTAGAACATAATTTTATTAAAGCTTAGGAATTGTTTACTATTTTCACTCGATATACCCAGAAAATTATACTCATTTTACCTTTGTACAAAAAGAAAACTTTATTAATATTTTTTCAAAGGATTACTTTAGAACATAAAAAAAAAATTCGAATTTCAAAAGATTCCTGCAGCTTTGTCGAAATGTTTTATAAAATTGTTATTGTATGCAACAGAGTATAAAAATATAATATAAAATAATTTCTAATATATTATTCGCCGTTTTCATTGTAGTGTATATTCGTATTTTACGCGTTTGTAGATATTTTTATTTTTTTTTTTTCTATAAAATTGCTAATTTTTCGAATGTGAATTAATTTCTTGTGTTAAGCGCATGATATTAATATGTTAAGCGCAATTATAATTTAATAATGAAAAAAGAGACCGGATATGATTCTCACATTGGGTGGGATGTTTTGAATAGATATATTGGATGTAAACTGTAAAGTAATATAGTTTTAACATTAAGAGTGCGTGATACCTGAAATGTATTGTCTCCGTCTTACAAACGTACGACATAAAAAAATAATGTACTATTAGTTTTAATATTAGAATGAATTGACTGAATTATCAAACGTAAAGATAGGAATATTCAATATTGTCTATGCAACGTTGGCATTATTTTCGACAAATTTTAATTTTCAAGAGAGATACGAATATGTAAAATATCACAATTTTAGAATGCTTATATATATCGTTTTAATATCGAAAAAAACAGCGCCGATGTTCCAATGGTCTTATCTTTATTTTTATAATACCTAAGTCAAAACTAACAGCACAATGTTGTCCCTGTTGAACGCAAATTCTCTGTGTCATACGTTTGTAAGACATAGACATCAAATATGGGTAGTGGATATCACGTTCTATTAAAAGCAACGATAAATTATTGCAATTTAAAAACAATTCTTAGCGGAGCTAGGTAAACTATAAGTAAGTATATTGTATAAGTTGCACATTTTTCTAGTAGATAAGTACCCAAGAAGTCAACAAAAACAAAATCTACTTCGAATTGTCATTTGTTTTCTTGTTTTTTTTTTAAAATTATATTGAAAAAGTATTTTTAATTTTTCCAAATATATTTTAAATAATGTACTTACCAGACAAAATTCCCGATTTTATGACGAATGGCATAAGCAAACCGGAGTATTTTTACCAATCGAAAATATTTTCCGAGAAAAAAGAATTACATCTTTGTAAAACTTTATACTAGTTTCTTTATTACAAAAATTTAAATCATTTTAGAAGAAAATTTTACTTTTTTCTATTCATTTATGATCAAATTTTTTTGTCATAATATTCATTTTTCAACTCTCTCTCCTGCTGAAGTCTTGGTAAATTATACTTAGTCTGAGTAAAGACACTGTAAACACCAAAGCCGTATGATTATTATAATAAAAATTATGATAATCATAACGATAAAAAAAAACTCGTTTTACCGCCTGACGATCGTCGTCGGACAAAAGGGGCGAGCCACAATGTTATTCACGGCCACGTGCCGTTTATTTTGTTTTTTATTGCAGACTTTGCCGCTTTAGATGCTAGCCGTGTTTGCTTTTTGTGTTTTTTTTTTTTCGTTATATTGTTTGTAGTACGGTGTGTGTATGCATGTTTAGTGTGTATAGAGTATTATATAACAGAGAAAATATAAAAACAACAAGATATTTTAACTTGGAAAATATTTTCGAGGTGTTTAAGATTATCAAACTTGTATATAATATCACCGTATGCTGCAGCAAACACGTCCATATCACTTTATATATTATATTATAATACTATACGACGGTATCAAAAACCACAGGA